CGCATTTTTCCTAAGTCAAGGGCAATAACTCAAAAACCGTTGATCGAAAGATCGTCAAATTCGAACTTGACCAAGATCTCATCAATATGAATGATCACACCAAATTTCATTAAAATCAGTTGAAAACTGTAGTCTCTATTGTGTTCACAAGAATAGGCGGACCGACGGACCGACGGACAGGGGTGACGGCAATATCGGCAAAAATCGATGCGGGACAACAGATTGAAATATTTCGTTTCATATGAAACAAATGGCCATTCCGGATTTTATCAGAAACCTTTAGTTTCGTTTTACAAGTCGTTTTTGTGCAGTTGGGCACGATGCGGCAAGTTGGGCAATGCGGCAAAACGAACCCATCGGGCAAAAACAACTTTTGAGGCGTTTTTACAAAGTCAAATGCAATAACTCAAAAAACGTTCATCAAAAATACGTCAAATTAGAACTTGTCCGAGATCTAATCAATTCCAATGATCACACAAAGTTTCATCAAAATCGTTTGAAAACTGTATCTTCTGTTGTGCTCACAAACAAATTTTGACGCGTTTTTCCTAAGTCAAGGGCAATAACACAAAAACCGTTCATCGAAAATATGTCACATTCGGACTTGATCGAGATCTTATCAATCTAAAGCATCACACCAAGATTTATCAAAATCAGACGAGAACTTTAGTCTCTATTGTGTTCACAAACAAATTTTGTGGTGTTTTTCGTCAGTCAAGGACAAGACCTCAAAAACCGTTCATCGAAAACTCGTCAAATTCGAACTTGACCAAGATCTCATCAATATACATTATCACATCAAGTTTCATCAGATAAAAACTGTAGACTCTATTGTGTTAACAAGAAATGATGACGGACCGACGGACAGGGGCGATGTCAATATACGTCCACATTTCCATGCGAGCGTATATAAACTGTTCATCCAATAATTACCAAATGTGACCTGGACCAATATATTATACATGCATACCAAGCTTCATTAGGATCGGATAAAAGCTGAAATCTTACCATGTCCATGACAATTATATAATAGCCTACACGAAATATGGATGGATGGACAAGGGCTATGGCAATTATACGTCCACATTTGCATGTGAGCGTATTTAAACAGTGACTATATTATGACATGATGACAGATGCCAACACCATATTTGCCTTGAATTCTCTGGAAGAAGTAGGAATATCCTTCATTCACTTGTATTTTATGATTGTTTCTTATTTCTCGATAGGTCAAGATTTACAATCAGTCAATGGATTTTCCATGGACTCCGACTGGACTTTGAACTTGTGTTAAGACAGGTCTATCAGAAGCAAACGACTTTTGTTCAAGCTGATAAAAGGAGGTGTTCCACGAACTATTCTGAAAGCTAAACTTACTCTTTGCACTATCCAGATTGGATTGTGGAGATTGAGATTGTACCTACGGGAGAAAGGGTCGCAACTGAATTTGATTAGACATGAACTATATCCTTTTCATCAAAAGAAATCATTGTTTATTTCAAGAAACAGTTGACAAAAATTTTAATCATGGAACATAACGATAGAACAATACTATTTCATGCAAGCTTTTTTCTTCACCCATGATCTGTTCTCGTTTCCACCTCAGCATTCTGCAAAAAGATAATATTTCATATAACAAAACTACATAAGTGATCAAGGTTTTCAATCCGACCGTGGACCAAATTTCCCACAAGCAAGAAACAAAATATTAGCCTACCCAAGTATATTATTTGTGTCTGTCGAAGGTATTTATCAGATTTGATTTCGTATTCAAATTGGCGATCTGCGTCGAATATTTTCATAAAGAATACCATACAATTGATATATTCACCTACGATCTACAGTACTTCGAAGAACAACATGCAGTTTATCCTATCCCGAACATGGTAACTATTTGAAGAATTTCCAGTCTTCTAATAACTCGATAAGAGCTAAGAATCGACCAGGTTAGCAGAGTTCCCTGGGCTACATCGTTAAAAGGCCTGGTCCCAAATAGGTTCCATTCAGTAGGCTACATGTACCTTATAATTATACGTACCTCGTTGGCTACTGATGTAAATTCTGATGGCAACTCCAAACGGCCACCATCCAGGCCACGCACATCGTTCTCACCTGAGGGACGGTAGTCTTGACTTCTATCTCTTCGTCTCATACAGTTACAGGAAGGAAACGATCTCTTTGTCCCTTTCCATACATTTCTTAATCTCTCCAATCTGTGCCTTCGTCGACGGTCATCAGAGCTGATATCAGGGCATGCTTCTACCGTGATCGGTTCTATGTTCCTCTCCAAAGTGCTATTAGGAGTAGAAATCTCCTCTTCAACCAGTTGCCCATGTTTCGGGATAGATCTTCTGAACTGCCTGAATGAAGTTCTAGGCAGATGAATTTTCGGTATTCGAAAGCGAGACCTTAATCTCATGGGTGCTCTAGCTTCTGTGATTTCAGGCCCAGGACATGACACACTAGTTCCTACTTTACTCCTGCTTATCTGCTCTTCCGGACTTGTTTGCGACTCATCTTCTAGGGCTGTAGATGAAATTGAGTAGTTTGATTTCATAGCTGTAGTTGCTTCTCCGGCCACCCCAGGCGCCTGACCATTCTGTCCCACATCCTGGTCTGGTTTTGTATCGTTCACTATGTTCAGCTCTGTGAATGTTTTCAAAACGGGTTCCTTTAAATCATCCAATTTACTTTTGTCTGGCCTTTTAATCTCCAAACTATCTTTTCCGTCGACATGATTATGAGAGACTTTTTCACCTGAATTTTGGATGTGTTGGTTGATGGCATAGTCCATGATATCTTTAGGTAAGCTGTTGCTAGATTTCTACGACTCTTTTACTAGTGCCACGTTTGGTACTTGTGTCCTAAAAGCTGACAAAGAGGAGAAACATTGTTTTTATTTTGAATATTGAGATAATATGCATATCGTAGACTAGGCTAGTCAGGCCTCCAAGTTCATTACATTTACTAATTTAACTTTAGTTAGAGGGGTTATTTTACGAACGGAATAACTTATAATTTAGCACTTTCTGGCTTAACTTTACTTTCTAGTCTCTTGATGTATTGTCATGCAAAAAATAGCAAACGCAAAACAAGTTAAAGTGAGATGCGACAAAAGCATATTAAAGCATGAACATGACCAGCCGCAAGGCCAAGGTCAAGGATTGAACAAAACTGAACAACAAGGAAGTCAGGCTTATCTACGTTGACGTCGTTTCAATACAAAATCGTAGCGTTGTAAAGAAATTGGAATATTTTTATAATACATACATTGTAAACTGAAATGGATTAGAATTAGCTTACCACTTTAAAATCAAATTTTGATTAATTCTAGATTTTTTGTAATATCCGAAAGGATTCAGTTTTGTTATGATCTTTTGCGCATGTCCAATAAAGGGAGGTAACTTGTCTCAGACAACAATGGTTTACCGAATCGTTCTGTAACGTAAAGTAATGTATGTGAACAACTGAAAAAGATGAATTGAAAGTTATTATTTCTATGGCTAGACCTAGCCTACCTAGTACCTAGTAGTGAAATCATAATTATCTGCCAGGTCTGTATTCTACATACTACACTATCACAGATATCAAAGAGGAAAGAAATTGTCCAAATAGTATCTATGTGTGTCCCCCGACCCACTTTTTGCAAGAAAACAATCATGTGACCTCTTGAAAATAATACCAGTACCTTTAACAAAGGGGTCTTACTATGCGGAAAATTACAAAACACAACAATTTTTTGATAAAATGAGTCAAAAATTGTTAAAGGGGCATTTCGCTTTTTTTGTAAAACATGTTTGATCATTATCAAAAGCTTATACGTGTACCTGAAAATAAGTATGCTATTTATATCTATGTATTCTTGATCAAACTTAATTTATTATTAAAGGGTTGATCAAAAACTAAAAGTAATAATTAAGCTGTTTGACCTAGTTTCGGTGTTATATTTAGTTAAAATCTTTAGAAAACCTAGGAGACATATTTCTCTACAATTATGCGTTTAGTATTCTCAAATCCGTATTTTTCTTACTTGCAAAAAGGCTAACAAACAAATTTTGGCATTTGAAAAATAACGGCTGAATTTTTTAGTTAAAATTTGAAAACCGTTCATCAAAAATACGTCAAGTTAGAACTTGTCCGAGATCTTATCAATCACACCAAGATTCATCAGAATCGGTTGAAAACTGTAGCTTCAATCCTGCTCACGAACTATTTCTAACAAATTTCGACGCGTTTGAACAAAGTCAAGGGCAATATCTCAAAAACCCTTTATTGAAAATACGTCAATTTCAAAGTCGACCGCGATCTTATCAATCTAAGGCATCACACCAAGTTTTATCAAAATCAAATGAAAACTGTAGTCTCTATAGTGCTCACAAGAAATGTTGACGGACAGACCATCATGTGGGCATATAAAACTTAACAATACATGGGTATTTACTTAAACTGGTTCTAAGAAGTTTAGTAATAACAGGTATATTATGTTATATTATGAAATGTACCTAATGTACGATGAAAAGAAAAGTGTGGCAATGTTTTCAGGTAGCATGTCAGACAAAACACTGGATTCCATTACATAAAAGATGTATTTGACCTCAAGAGTATTCAATACACCTGTTTACTGATTTTAAAGAGATCATATACAGGTTTTCTTTACTTCTATCTGAGGACCTTTGCATCATAAAACACATAGTTTTAGTAGGGAACATATGTTTTACTGACAATTGCAGTGGTTCTTATCGATGTTATCAGTGTCCCTGGTACCTATAAAACCTTTTTACAAAAACCTTTAGCATGTGAATCACTATGAACACTGGTATAACATTTACTTATATAGCAACTTGTCACACACATTCTCACTCTGTCATTCATTTCCTTGCATAAGTATTGTAAAACAGCCTTTGCCATACATTGATATTTGCAAAAATCACAGCAAATATCTCTGAAAAGTTGTGATGTTTTGAAATGGTTGATACCATATGAAAATAATGTTAGTTTTTCTTTGTGCGTTTCCTCTTCATTACAACTGAGGCGTTGGTTTGCATTTCTGGAGCTTTTGTTAACTGAACATTGAAGCCTGTCATTTGTAAATCAGAAGGTGACAACGTTTTAGTAACCACTCCAGTGATGGTTGTTAACTGATTTTCACGCACCGTGAATCTTTGTCCTTCGTAAACCACCATAGGTCTACGTAATACTATATTCACAATTGTTGTATCACCTGGCATCACCATGGTAACACCTTCAGGTAATCGGACACAACATGCCATATTCCAAGTTTTACTGTACATCAGCTGAATATACTCCTTTAATAATGGCTTGCTTCGTCCTCCTTCTGAATTCAATAACACGTAGATCTGTGCCTCAAAATGATTCCATTGTTTGATGCTATCTGGTTTGCACAGAAACATTCCTCTACTTACTAACTTCTTGTTAATTTGACGCATGAGAACACCAACATTATCACCAGCATATGCCTTTGGTACCGAATCCTGGAAGATTTGAATATCAGAAATAAATGTCTTCATCTCTTTTCCATACCCCAACAGGACAGCTGGGTCTCCTTTTAATATTGTTCCTCGAGTCAATGTTCCGATGCCAACAGTTCCTCTGCCTTGCACTGTAACTGAACCTTCTATTGGCAGAAAGAAAGGTTCATCTAAATTTCTTGCTGGAGTAGTAACATGAGTATCTACGGTTTCCATCAATTTCAAGATGGCTTTTTTCCCATATTCAGTGTCTTCTCCTTGTAGAGCTTCTAAAGCTGACCCACATACAACTGGAATTTTGTCCCCATCAAAACCAAACTCTGTTAACAACAGTCTAATTTCTAATTCAACTAGCTCTAAAAGTTCCTTATCCACTAAATCAGCCTTATTTATGAAAACCACTATGTCACCTACACCTATTTGTTTGGCTAGAAGCAAATGTTCTCTTGTTTGAGGCATTGTGCCATCAGCGGCAGACACAACTAAAATCGCCCCATCCATCTGAGACGCTCCAGTTATCATATTTTTTACATAATCGATATGACCAGGACAATCTGTATGAGCATAATGCCTTGATTGTGTCTCATATTGAACATGCACAGCATTTATTGTGATGCCACGCTTTTTTTCTTCTGGAGCTCTGTCTATATTATCAAAGTCTACAAATTTTGATAGTCCCTTTTCTGATAGAACTCTAGTGATGGCAGCAGTCAAAGTTGTTTTGCCATGGTCAATGTGCCCAATGGTACCGACATTGCAGTGTGGTTTTCTATCTGATGGTTCCTTAACTGCACTTTTAGATAAATATTTATGGGGATTATAATATGTCGATACAATGGAGCATCGCTTAGTATTAAAGATATGGATGACAGATCTCTGAGACAAACTGAATGACGTCCCAAATTTTAAGACTAATTTTGATAGCATGGAGGCTGCCATCTTGTTTTAGGTCAAGGACCTTTTTGCTGACACACTAAAGAGCGTAGTAATCTATCTTTCTGATCTTTTATCATTATCATTTTATATTTAAATCACATTTATGTCATGGTCATGAATTATTTAAATGGAATATTCACTTACATTTTTGTAGATGCTTGTTTGAAGTGATCAAAGATTTAAGCATCAAATAATGAATTTACTTTGGACTATTTTAATGAGCGTGAGTTGAAACTTAGCTGTCGTTTGGCCATTATCACTGCCCTTATTAATTCTTGCACAACCAAAAGAAAGATTTCTGGCTGTGGTGTAACTCTCTCTAGTTGACAACTCTATAAAATCACGTATTTGTCCTATATTGACAGGTTCTCGTTAGGGACGAGTTGTCTTGGGTAAATTTGCCGAGGGGTCATTGCTGCGCATCGAGAAGTTTTAACAGGTTGTTCCAACTGAACAGTTCTAGGCCTAGTCACTAGTAGAATAGCAACAAAAATCCAGCAGAATTTCAGCTGCCTACCAACGTCAACAGTGTATTTGATCGGTTCTAAGTTCTTATCAACAAGTGCAAACATTCTCTTTACTGAGACAAGTTCATCTCAAAGTTTGTTTCAACAAGTAATGACTGATAAACCTTGCAAATTTTACGTCGGTGGAAAAAAATGCAAGTTTGGTAAACATTGTAAATTTGTGCATTCAGAAGGTTTGTCAAATTTCAATTCTGATTTTAAAACGGATGATAATAATGGAGTGTTAAATTCAACTGCGTGTCCACCTCAAGTTCTGTACCCAGATGAAAAAAGCTTTTCAAAATTAAATCAAGAACAACAAAATGACACAGCAATAAGAAATCAATCCAAGAAACAAAAACTTTTACAAAGCGCAACATTTTGTCATTTTTATGAAAAAAATGGATTCTGTCGTTATGGTAAGAACTGTAGATTCTATCATGGAGCTAGAAATCAACCAAAAGAAGAGCTGAATCTTGAGGAGGATTTTAATAAGTATGAAAAGGCTGAAGTAGAGGATGCTGATGAGCAAGATAATCCTGCAGCCGATACTTCTGAAGATTTAGGAGCTGTCGGGTTTGAAAATGGTGGAAGGAGAGGGTTATGTCAATTTTTTGCTGAAAATGGTCATTGTAGATATGAAAGAAGATGCAGGTTTCTTCATTTTTATGCACACAAAAAATCTGCAGAAAAGGAAATTGGCTCAAATAAAGAACAGAGTCGTAATGATGTAGTGTCAACTGAACCATCAGTCTCCAAGAATGACTCCAATAAGACAACTTGTTCTTTTTTCAAGAAAGGAAACTGTAGATTGGGTAAGAGGTGTAGATTTGAACATAAAACTATCAGTTTCAGTGAAGCACCTGCTAAATCTGAAGAACCAGTGCCTTTAGAAGTTCATCCCCAACCTGTTTTGACTGCAGTGAGAAGACCAGTTATTCCAGTGAAGAAGACATTGATGCGATCAACTGCCACTGATGAAGAAATTAAGAATTTGAGAAAGACTGAAATAGACCAGTTCAAGAAAAGATTTCCCAGTGATAAGCTTACAGTAATTACGGATGATGATAAAAAATTTCTTGCCAGATTTTGCTTCACACCTTCAGATCCAGATTGGGTATGTTACAACTTGTAACAATTATGTTTTAACTTGTATAGCTTTTCCACATAGCATGGCTTGAAGAGCTGAACAATTTTTTTTATAGTAACACAGTTTCCAAATATCTAAGTGTGAATTCCAGATATATTATAAAACAGTGACTTCGCCCTTCAGCTGACAAAATGTTCCATAATACATATTATTACTTTAGTCTTAATCTTTCCTTATTTGTTTCAGCCTTTTGATGTAAGAAATTTTGTTATTCAAGTTGAATTTGGTGCTAGATATCCATTAAAGGTAAGTTTGAATGTGTAATTGGGCTATTTACATATCCACTTTATTTTTTATCTCTAGCGAGGTGTTGACTTAACTAATTCAGCCTTGATAAAGCTAATATTTTTGCTGTCTTGAAAATCAGAAGCAGATTTTCATCAAAGTTGTAAGAATAGCTGTGATTATTTTCTGGACATAGATAATAGTTGATTCTATTGATAAGAGTTAAGGCTACTGTAATAGCCTTCAAGAAAGTACAGATTATAGAATTAGAAGAAAGTATCTTCTTTGATTTACAGAAATTGAAGTTAAATTTACCAGAAGAACAAGATATGCCTGACATTGTTCGGAGGTGAGTATTTTCTAAAGGTATAAGCTTTTTCACATTCTACCACAAATGTGATAGCTTTACAGATTTTCCTTTTGTGTAAAACATTGTAAAGCAGTTGACCTTAGTTGCAGTCATTGGCAATGGCTCTTGATTTTCTGGTATCTTCTTGAGAGAAAATATTTGAACATTCCTCCTTATCTTGTAGATATGTTGAAGAAGGTATAGTAGAGTGGGTTGATGAAAAGACTGTAAATTTGGAGAAATCTGACCAGTTAGAACTGTTATTTAGACCTTTGTTGAGATGGATAGAGAAAAACCTTGAAGATGTTGTTACCAATGGTTTAAGACAGGTAAGAATACCTCTCATATTACTAGGGCAGTGATGTCTCAGTTAAGACGCTTGCTCAATAAGCATGAGGTCCAATGTACAATTTAGATTTTCTATCTAGTCAGTGATAGAGGAAAAGCAAAAGTTGTCCAATTGGAAGATTACAGAGGCCCCAAAACATCCCTCAAATGTAGGAAGTTGAAAAAAAGTAGGCTTTTAAACTGCTTGTGTAGAATATGTATATAACAGTTAATCTAGATAATAGGTTTATTCTAGAGTCAGAAGTTACATGTCGTGTTGTTAAACTGAAGATCATTCAAAATATTTTGCAGGCTAATTTTTCTTCTAGAGCATTTCACAGCGTTTAGGATGTTTTAGATAATTTTTTATTTGTGATCAGCTGTTATTGGACACAATTATTTAACACAGTAAAATTTTCTTATGTTTTCAGTTCAAGAAAGAGTTAGTGGCCAAAGCAGCAGGATTTGAATTTATTTCAGCCTCCCAACTACAAGACAATATTATAAAAGAAAGCCTGGAAGAAACATCAGAGGAACCTATTTCTGATGAGAATTCACCAGAAGACGAAAATGTCACTGAAAGCAGTGGTAGTGACAGTGATGATAAGGAGAACCATCTTGTCAAAGTAGATGTTGATAAAAAGGGCACAGAAATAAATTTTAAAAATCTGCAATTAAAAGGGCAAACTGGAACGTTGTCTTTTAAGAAGATTCATATCATTATTCAATGTGGTCGCTGTAAGAGCAAAAGTGATTTTTCAACACCTGGAAATCGACTTAACTCTGTCGATTGTACCAAATGTCATGAGACCCAATTATTACGATATCGTCCTACAATAGCTCATCAATATTCATCAGTTATTGGATATCTAGACCTAGAGAATTGTCTGCCCTTTGATTTGATCTTACCAGAATGTTATCCTGTAGTCAACTGTATGAACTGTTCTAAATCTACAACAATATCAGTAAGTATTCATATTTACAACTTTTCTTTTAAAGGGCTAATTCTGGGGATTATTCCATTTGATTTTTAAGACACGCCTAAATATTTTGTTTTCTTAACTAGGTAAAATAATGGCTACATTTTTCGTAGTGACGACTTACAGCATAATTTGTATCTTACAGGAATATTATTATACAAGGCAAAAATATAAGGAGGCTTTAATTATAATTTTCACCCTTTTGGTCAAGGTTTGAAATAAGTGTCCGGACATGGACATTGTCTGGTACAATTTCGATAAATGCCCGATACAATCTTGTTTGAGGTGGACATTTTTGTCCGGTACCAAATCTATGAAAAAATATTGATTTTCTTGTTGAAAAGATCGTGAGTTATCACGATTCTGACCGTTAATATTGCCAATAGATGTCAAAGTTGTGTGTTTTTCTCTTTCACGTAACGGATTGTCATTTCTTGACTCGGAAAGTACAAAAGTTCAGAACGCCAATAACATAGTCTAGATCATCCAGATTACTAGCACCTAGAGAAGGCATGCAAGGTTTGGATGATCAAGTCAAGACACGAATGAATGGTGTTGACATAAGTAGTTTGTCCAAAGTAATTTTAATTTGATAAATTACTATATTATGAGATGATCTTTCATATGGTACTATATATTATAATCATGAAGTCTAATCACGCTTTGATACTTTTAACATAATATTACTTAAGAATTTGATACACAGAGCCAAAGGAAATAGTCGAAAGTAGAAATATAATTAAAGTAAGAAATTCATTGGCTGATATGAATTAAATAAATATCTTTTCTTGTCCAATCAGATAAGTTATTACTTCCGATCTTTTTTATATTCCTAGAACTTTTCAACAAGATATGATTTGATTTAATTACCTATTGTTTTACGGCTTTATCGTTCTCCGAAAATCACCGAGAATATAAATAATCCCTATGGCCTATTTGAATAACATAAACTATTCTTAGCTAATTGTTAACCTGTAGGCCTATTGCACTTGCAGGTGAGAAAACGCCGAATTTCAGTGCTAAATTGATGGGTTTTAAATGCAATTTTTCAATTGAAAATATTCTATACGCCCCTGTCTGTCTGTTCGTTCACATTTCTTGTAGGTGGGATAGAGGCTACAGTTTTTATCTGATCTTGATGAAACTTAGTATGCATGTATATATTTATGAGATCTCTGTCAAGTTCAAATTTGGTAAAAAATCAAATTTGCCTTAGGAGCCTTGGTGCGATAGAAGCTACAGTTTATATCCGATCTTCATGAAACTTGGTATGCAGATGAATCTCAGTCAAGTTCGAAATTAGTAATAATCGGATAAACAGTTTCAGAGTTATTGCCCTTTACTTAGAAAAAATGTGTCAGTTTGATGATAATTTGATGAACTGTTTCAGGTTTTTGCCTTGACTTATAGATGACTTTAAGATTATTTGCAAATTTATTATTAAGCCATTTAAGATCATTTCTGATAGCTGGTAGTGGGCGTATGTTACCTTGCCTGGCAAGCTATCCAATGTCCAGTACAAAATTTCAAATGTCCGACACAAAATTAATTGTGCTGGACAAAATGTCTGGCCCACTTTCTGGAGTTATTGTAGGAATTGCTTTTGGCTACAGATTATTTATCTCAATAATAGGATATCTCTTTACAAGTTTCTAATATTGGTTTTTATATTTTCAGGGTTTTTGTACTGGTCAACCATGTGATGTCATCTGTCGTTCATGTCATGATAAATTGAGGATTGCTGCCGATGCTGTCAGATTTTTAGACTTGCAGCAAAAAGTTGAAAATTTAGGTATGCTTCAATTTTGAATTCCAATTCTAGATAGAGTACACTGCATAGACCTGGTCATACCACCCATGAACTATTTGAATATATAATACTTATAACTTCTTCAGTATCGGAGGTAAAAGAGTTGTCATTTGGCTATGGGAGCAGCGACAAGTATAGTATTGCATTACTTAAGGTCTGGATAAGTCAATCTACACATGTTGCATTGCCTTATTTGTCAAGGGGATGCGACCATTCTTCCAAGAGGCATATTCCATTATAATGTTCCTGTTATTTAATTTGCAGAAATAAAGCAGATCCACAAAGTAGGAGTAAAGAAAACCAATCGGGTGGCTAAAGATCCTGCCATACAAGAAGGGAAACCTCTACCAAATAATGGAACCTGTAAACATTACAAAAAGAGTTATCGTTGGCTAAGGTATTGTATTTCAACTTAGACCCTAAAATTTCAACAGAATGCAGACTATTTAAAGTGTTGTCTTTTTACATGGGAAATGCTTGAAGCAGGCCTTTATCTTGAGTCTTGAGCACTAAAGTTATTCACATAAACAACTCTATGGTGATGTTGTGTGGTTATGTCATGCAATCAAGACTTTTAGTATCTCATCACTGAGTATCATGAGTTTTATAGTGACGCTATGCATTGGTGTCATGCATGCAATTATGACTGATTTATGTATGGCTTCAGGAAGTCAAAGCAACTTGCCCATGTTGTTTCCATTTCAACTTTGAAACATTTGTCTTCAACAGGTTTCCGTGTTGTGGGAAGACTTATCCTTGTGATGTTTGTCATGATGAAAATGAAAGTGATCATGACATGAAATATGCTAACAGAATGATTTGTGGATTTTGCTGTAAAGAGCAGGTTTGTAGTTTCTTATGTCATATAAAAAGGAAAGAAATATGGACCAGTTGATTTATTCTACTGCCATTTGCCAATGTGGACTGCTTGACTGAGAGACCAAATGACCAGAGCCAGTTGTTGAATTGGACTTGATGCTGTCATGGGGTTGCAGCAAGAAAATTCCGTTAATCAAAATGTTAATCAAAATCTTGTCCAGTATGGCAAAATCGAGAGTTAAATTTTTAGGGTTTTCTAAAAGAATATGCATGGTCTGCTACACGCGTGACACCTGCCACTACCACAATGCTAAATATCATGAGATAAAATCATATCAATTCATGTCTGACCAATCAAATCAAATATACCAGAAATAGATTTATTGTATGGAGTTCTGCATAACGATCAATCTCCTTTATATTGTTGCCTTTTTATTACTGATTTGAGATTTGATATTCACCCATATGCCCTTTCATAAAGAGAACTTTATAAGATTTATTTATCCATTTAGATTATTCAAGGTACTCTCATTTCTTTTCAGGTATATTCAGTTGATAAACCATGTAAAGGGTGTGAGAGTTTAATGACGAAATCCTCGGGGTCACATTGGGAAGGAGGGCAGGGTTGTCGAGATAAGATAAAGATGAGTCGAGGGGATTCACAGAAATACAGCAATATGGGAAAAACTATCTCCAAGCATTCACAGAAAGTTAAAGATATGAATGGCAAAAAGAAAACCAAGCTCAGACATGCTTAAGACGTTGATCGATCAATTTTTCTTAACTCTCTAAACTTTTTAATCTAATAACCTTAGTTTTGTATTTATCACTTAAGTTTTGAAGTAAAATGTCATTTAAATTATGCAATTGTAGAATTATGTCATGAAACTTTAATTTTGTGATTAGTTAACTCCTGATTTAATTCCTGTAGCATATATTGTGCTCATTTGAGACATAGAACAAGCTGTATCACAAAGTGAAAAGAATTTGGTTGAATTGAATAAAACTTGTAATACAAGTTGTATATATTGATGTAAAGATGATAATAATATATACAATTTTATATTTTACAATTAATATTTGGTAAATACATTCTGATAATGAATAATACTTAAAAATAAAAGGTGTAAAAATCTAGTTGTTTCTCTTGTTGAATTTGGGTTTCTTCAAGTCAAGGCTATTTAATACTTTGATTCTCTGTGTCTATGATCCCTCGACAAAATCGGAAAATTTATTTCCTGAACCATCAATGACAGCTGTTTCTCTTTAGAATAAGGAGAAATGAGTGTTATGGTAGACAATCATGCTACGATTGTAGGCCTACTATAAGTAACATACAGTGGCGTAACCTATATTCGTGCATGTAAGGATTCAACCCCCAATTTGGTCAAAGTTAAAATAAGTAGAATCGGTTTGTTTCGATTTTCTTTATGAATCCCTCATTGACATGACATTGTATTGCATGAGTAACCAACTCGACAACGGCTGCAAAATGCGTCACCTATTTTCGTGTACAATGTTTGATCCGTAAATAAGTCAAAAAAACACGTTTTATGTATACCCAGTAGTATAATTATCATTTCTTTAATATCAAGTCATTTTCCACTAATGTAATGACATTTCCTTTAAAGAAATTGATTTAAAAAAAAACGAGTAATTTATTGCTAAAATTCATTGAAAAGCCATATAGTATAATACGACTATTCTGATTACAACTTGGAATTACTAGGCAATTTAGTCAATAAAAAATGGTGATATTTGGTAATAACTGAAATCCGCCATTTCATTTTCGAAAAATACTATTATATTACAGCCTTATCGACTCTTCGTACCCTATTCCAGAGTATAGACGCCCTTGATAGTTGATACCCATACCTAGACAAAAAGATAGAGATATAGATGAAGATGGAAGACCTGGCCAAAAAGATAGAGATACTAGATGAAGATGGAAGACCTGTAGATGAAGATGGAAGACCTGTAGCCAAAAAGATAGAGATACTAGATGAAGATGGAAGACCTGTAGATGAAGATGGAAGACCTGTAGCCAAAAAGATAGAGATACTAGATGAAGATGGAAGACCTGTAGCCAAAAAGATAAACTTAAATTTTGTATGTCACCTGTAGCATTACTGTAGGCCTATGTACCTAAAAATCTACAACTCCGTTTACTTGGAAGGTGGTTTCAATTAGGATGGATTTATATAATGCTTAGATATTTTTCAAACTGGTTACATAATATCGTATTATCTCTGTATCTCGTTCCTTATTGATATTTAATTTTTAAAGATTATTGAATAGAAAACAATCTTTAGTCCTATCCATCATATCTAATTAAATAAAATTTATATAATTATGATTATATACATAATACTTTTTGTTTTTATTATCAAATATATATAATTTAGGTACTTTTAATGCCCGTAGCCAAATTATATGTAAAACTTCCGTGTGGTTTACCTCTCCTTTAATCTGTTAGATGATATCATTCGTCATTCATTAACTACACGTCAAATTCTTTTCATTAAATATGCAAAATAGGTGATCACATGATAAAATTTGTATAATACGTCATCTTCTTGGTAACTACCTTTAACTTTATATAAATTAATTTCCTTCATCCAAAAGATCAGTTTACTTTGGATTCCGGTTGGATATCTAGGCTTACAGATATTTTAAAATGGAAACAAGGATATTTGTTGGTAAGTAATACTTTTAGGCATTTTTGCGACTATCCGACGATCTGGAGACATTTGTTTAGAAGCTATACATATTCAAATATATATTATTAATTGCTAGTTCAGGTGGGTCTTATTCCAATCTTCTTCTTCAGCTTGTATGCCATATTTTTCTCCTTTCGAAAGTGAAAGAGGGCATCATAAATAATGATTTACGAGAACTAAAATCAAAAATGGATTTAATAAACAATTTCCCTCATATCTGAATTATTTTTGTTAAGAAAAAAGTACACCGGTAAGTATAAAATTTGATAAATAAATATGATTTTCCATAATTCAAAACAATTTCCATAATTCAAAATAATTTAATTGAATTCTATTCTTCAAGCAGTTGTAGGATTACATTAATTAATATGCATATGTATCTCATTAATTAATATGCGGTTTAGATGGGGGAACATTTAGACTTTATATAAATTATTCTCGAGGTTGAGCCGTCTTCATTTTTATAAAGATTTACTTGTTATTTCCATAGAATGCTCAAATTAAATTTAAGATCAGATTTTGCTTCTTCGGGGGATATTGTCAAGTTGACTAGAGCTTATCTCTTGCTGCATGTTCCCGTGTTTCGGATATTCTAATTTTGCAAACTTTATCCATTTGATATACACATGAAACCACATGAAACCCAGACGCAACAATTATAGTCAAAGGAACTACGGGAGAGAATGGAATACGCCTTGTAAAACCGAGTCAAGAGATAATTAAAATTTTTCCGGAAGAGTGAATCTACCCTGGCTCGCTACCGACGCTCGCCACCATTCTTATTGAACTTAAATATTAGCTCAACTTATACTAGTTAGCTTGAAGGGACAGATACGCAATTTTAAGAGGGGGTGGGGGTGATTTGAAAATATAAAAATAGTCTTCAGAAGTACTAGAAATGTACGAAAATGGCTTGATACCTTCAAAAATATCTCAAACTAGGAATATCACTCTCTATTTCTATTTCATATAATTCAGATGTCGAATAATACAGAATATACACTGTATGTCCATTCTATATAAATCACGGAGTAGGCCTATTATTTTAACACTCAAACGCGGATAATTTTGTACATAGATTTGAAGTTTCAAATTTCGACAGTGAGCTGTGAACATCATAACTGATTGGCTTAGCTAAAAAGAATTCACGTTTCTGACACTAAAGTATGATTGGTCAAAAAGAATGACGCACTTGTCCCTTTAATACTAAATTTAAGTACAAAAGGTTTTTTTTCTTTTTCTGTTCCCTATATTGACTTACTACAGAAATAACCTCAATCTTTTTCATTGGAATAACAAGAATGGATGTGGAAACAGAAAAAAGAGCTACATGTGGCAATGGAAAAAGGTCCATGGGTTCATTTACTTACACTAATAAATAGTGTAACCTGTAAACTCTTTCCCCTTTTCAACAATAGTTTTTATTTAAATCCTCTTAAAAAACTAATCTATTGTGTTAAAGTGATATTATCTTAATCTTCATCGTGTACTATATTATCTCAAATACCAAAGGAAGTTCACTTTATAATTAAAATTCATTGTGTTTCGGTACACAATTTAATGTACAAAAAAGAGAAAAAAAAATGCAGATTTAAATCACTTAAATAATTTTATTTTATTTTTTAAAGATTTCGAAAGGTCTTAAAATAATAATTGGGCTACTTGTCCACGAGGCTTACACAACTATTGTTTGAAATAATATTATAAATATGGAGAGAGTGCTCTGAATGTTTCATTCAGAGCACTCTCTCCATATTTATGCAAAAATGTGTTTTGAAAAGGCACACTTGCACTTGTAATTATCTGTAAATATAGGGTGTGTATTACTTTTTCTTTTGAATTACAGCTATATTACCTTTATCCCAATGACCTACAGTCAAAACACATCAATATATTTCATAGCCTATTGGCTAACCGGTTATAATTAATTAAGCAACTGTAAAATACGTGAACTCGACCACTCCTGCAGGTTATAAAGTAATTAATATTACAAAATTATTAATGGTTAATTTGAACAAGATTAATTAATCTGAACCAAATTCAAACCTTCCGGCTACTTCGTGATTTACTTTATGGTGTGTTTTTTTTTTTTGTAAAACGAATCAAGCAGATCAGGCAGATCAAGATTGACCAAAAGAATAAAATCGTTGAACTTTCAACCTTTTTCATTTCTTTGATCGAAATAGTTTTTTTTTTTAGAAATTTATGACGACCTTTATTTGTCAGGATATATAAACCTGCAATAAGAAAATAGAACATGAGAAATAATAATAAGTCTTTGATTAAGCTTTGACTAAAGTACTCTGTCGCTAGAGAGTTGACATGTCTTTTGTAAATCTTCGACGAGGGAAAAATTCAACCGGTCCAGTGAATCATTCGGGTGGGGAGGCAATGAGAGATACCAATGGAACCCTATATAGTTGTTCTCCTGAAGGTTCAACTCTCACAAAGTCTACTCCATTACAACTTTTCAGGCATTGCACCTTCTAAAATCAATTTTGGCAAACAACTTATGAAAACTGAAAATCAATTGGCATAATGATTTCAACTCAACAATATTGTCTATTCGGAATTTCTGTTAAAGCTCTTAAGAGTGAAACAACTTATACAGCGTGTTTCATAATTTCTACAGATCCAGATTGGATTAAAGAGAAAATGAATTTCTTTTGGTTCATTCTGCCTTAGAGATCTGTACTTCCAAAGACAGACAGTTTTTTGTCGTGAGATGTAAATATTGCAGAGCGCTAAGCTACTGTAGGTAGGCCTAATAATCCTCCCGATGCCATGAAAATAACTTCAATATACTAGGAATATGTTCCGAAACCTTAATTGGTAAACTGACATTGTCGTTAAAGTTCTAGTAATGCGTTGCAAGATGGTTCGTCCAGATGAGTAACGTTATGGCTTAAAATACTTAAATTACTTTGGTTTCAGGAATATTGGTATATATAGTGGCTATAATAGCTAAGGTAAAAACTCAGGTCAATGGAGGAACTGGCGGTACTGGTACTGGAGCGCAACAACCTACTCCTTGCATGGATCAATTTAATGCTAATTTCGCCCAGAGATGTTTTGAGACACAAAATGTGAGTTTCCAGGGAGCATTGAATCTTTTAACTCAGGGTCAACGAGGGGAATTGCCAGCAGGAATAACACAAGAAGAATTTAAAAGAAGACTTTGTGGGTAAGTACAAATGTACATCACTGGCAAGGAAGATTTACTCCGTTGAGAATCATAAACAATTCTCTATGGTAGAATATGCTGCAGCATCCATAGTCAAATAGTCGGATGTATAGACAGGATCACATAAACATGTGTTATGAAACTTTTCGATGAAGACTTTCCTTGGCTTGGTGTCAGTAGCCTAATTGTTGTTTATTTGAGAAAACGCACTCTTGATGGGTAGAGGTAAGTTATTGTAAAATTAATTTCAAAGTATTTGTTATTTTATGTTTTTAGTGATGCCACCTTAGATTTTATCATACCATGTGCTCTACAACTCAGTAGCTATTATATGAATCAAACCAGCTGTAGTGAACAAGAACGCCAATTTATAGTGGGAACTGCACGTACATTTAGTGCAGCATTGACCCCATTATGTTTAGCTGGTAAGTAGCCTTGTTTTTCATTTATTGAATTCGTTTAGATTTAGATTTGAGGAAGGCCAAAGTTGTAATTACTGACCAAGGCACTTACATGTACTTACTATACGTAAGCTGTAGGAATTCTGCGGGTCGTCCGTTTAGATGAACACTGTAGAGGACGCTAATATTAGCTGAGGTGCATTTCAAATCAATTCAGTTGTCATATTTTGTTTTCAGAATGTGAAATCCAAACTAATCAGAGAGCAATGCAGTGTTTTGCCTCTGCGCAAATTGACCCTAACAGAGCTATGAATACCAGTATGTTATCAGATAAATTTATCATACTAGGTAACACTTCCGTTGACATTCAACGATTCTGCAGGTACGTCGCCCGATAATATCATTCCTTCCTTGACTATAAGACCGAAAGTTGCTACAAAGAAAATATGGATTTTGATCTTTACTGCTTTATGTGATTCTCCACTGCTATTGCGATGTGTGATTTAAATGGTCATCGGATTTAATTTCTTATTCGCGTTGATCAAGTCGTTAATGAGATCCAATTTTCGCCTTTCCATGTGTATGGTCTAAAACATTTGACAACATTATAACAAAAGAAAGGGGAAAGAAAATGGACTAAAATGAGTCACCAGTCACACGATGTGACCATCATTTCCTGAATACAACTTCATTTTGACGTCTTTTTATCTGACTTTTTCAATTTTCATGTCTCTGTGTATACAGGTTTTGTTGTATATTTTGTAATCTATGTCAACTCTATATCCTCAACTTAAATACAATTTTCTATTTTTCTTTTTTGACATATCGTTAACAAAATCTTTTTTTTTTAATAAACTCCAGTAATTATTCATTTCCTTTCAATAGAAAAAAAAGACATCATACAATTTCTGTATATTTCAGTAACCACGGAACATTATTTACCTGTTTAGAAGCTGAAAAAGCGAGATGTCCTGCGTTTGAGAAAAGAATGTACGAAGAAGGTGTAGATTTTACGGCAATGAAGTTGGCTACAGCTGTACTTTGTCAGAATCAACAAGGTATACAAATAACACCGTTTTTAATTCCGCAAAGTAGACATCCCAGCGGTAAACCGTTAATGCTGTATTTAATGGTGAAAAAAGATCAATGATGCTTTTCACAATGTCTAAAATATGAATCAGAAAGATAGAAATAACTATTTTTTGTGAAATCTTTAAGTTTGCACCCTTTTATATCTTGGACGTCACCTTCACGTCAAACAATTAAATGAGAAAAAATAATTTTTGATAGAAAAATTTTAAAAATTGGCCGGGCAGTGATATACTTCCTCAAATGAATAGTCTTTTTTTTAGCTGCTACCAGTGTTTTGTAAGTATGCTGTTTGGATTTCGGGTTTCGTTTTGCGGTGCGGGTCGTTAGTATAGCCTAGTTTATTTATCCAGATGATTGCGGTTGTTAGCAGACGCTATTGTCGATAATTTTTGAGCGTTTTGATATGGACTGCGACTGGTCCAATGAGATGCTATGCATTGTCAGTCGATCCAAATGGTATTATTTTGTTATTTCAGTTTATATGGCAGCCTTACAATGTTTTAGCTCTAATCAACAAGTATTGCAACCCTGCCAAACCTCTGTCGGACGCCCAGTAGAGGAACTACTAATTGGTAGATTAAGTTTAGGAACCGTGGCTCCATCTCAGATGGTTGGAAGACTATGCACGTAAGTCATTTCATGTATTTTGCAAAAAACCCGAAAACCTGTATGCATTTCAAGTTCGTCTGCCAAAGTTACATGGAGTTATTTCCTATTAATTAAGTTAAAATAATGCATCGTGACCTAATTGGTTGTCGTTATGGAAACAAACTAGCTCATTAGATGAAAACCCTGAGTGTAATTCGTTTACTCTTTTTTCAGTTTAAGATTTAAAAATCTGCTGCCTTGTCACCTAAATGCTTATAACTCAGTCTGCGCAGCAAATTTAATGCAATTAAGAACTGCGTTTGAATGTAACATGATAGCCGCACCATGCAAGCAAGAAGCTGGAATCCAACAAGATATTACTCAGATGTGTCAAGCCAGTCCTCCACCTCACCAAACCATTACTCAAAAACCGCCAGTTGTCGTGAAGCCCCCAGACACACAAGTTAATACTTTCGCTAATAATCCAACCAACGTGCAGAATGGTAATACGATCCCTGCTGGTACTGGTAATGTTATGAGCAACAACAACCCTAACATGAATAACAACAATAATTTTAATAATGGTAATAATGGTAATGGTGGCGCTGCATTATCAGTCACCTTCTTAGTAACTTTATTTGTCATATGTAGTGCTTTTTACTTGTATTAAATGTTACAGAATGGTTTTATTCGATATGATCTAAATTTTCGACTCAAAGGGAAATATTTACATTGACAGCCAACAAAAGGAATAGGCTAGCTATTTCCCTTATATTTATATATAAGATTTCAAAAGCATTGGTCACATGCAGTGATTTCTCAAGCGTTTTCGCCGTCTGTCAAAAGTACAGTAGCATATGATAAAGCCATCGAATTATGATACTTCAATTCAATCAAATTTTACAGATTATTTCTATAAATACAAAGTTTGAACTATCAGCATCAAAATAGTAGGCTACTGTAAGTCTGAGAATGAGGTTTATATTTTTTTATATATTTTTCTTTTTTTTTTTTTTTTTACTACGATCTAAATTTTCGAAAAAAAGAAGAAAATTTCCAAAAGATATGACTCGATGTTTATTATTTTCATCAACGCACAGTAAATATCTATACCTGATGTTAGAATCACATAGTAGAAGATATCGCCCTTATTTTGTAAATTCTGTAAATATATTTGTAAATATTTGTAAATAAAACATATAATCGTATTATAATATTTAAGCTTTTTACATGTATCAATGTTTCGCAGTTTCGCATGATTTTATTAAAAGGGTTCAGATATGTTTTGTGCGCTATTCAAAATCGATTGGTTTCAAACCTTTGAACTACTCGTAGCCTAGCTCTATCCTCTTAGTGCCCGCTCTCACAATTCCTTGTTGTAAGTGATATGGGGAGCCTATAAATGAGCTGGTTATTTTGAATAGGTGTCACAGTAATCACCTGATCACATTTTTACAAATTTCAACATTCCTTATTTCTAGAGTTATTTCTCTCCGGTGCTCATAATGTAGCTTTCTCTACAAGAAATTTGTCTAACACAGTATTTGATATTTTTTTTTATATTTAATACTTTGGCGGGTTTCATTGTAATTTGTACATCTTCGGGCTAATTCATTTGCCATCTTTTCCCATGTTAAAACACGAAATTCAACCCTCTACAACTTTTTCCAGAAATCTCGTTGAAAGCTTTCCAATGTGTCGAATGAAAGCCTTGCCAATCCTAAATGTCCCCTAAAAAACAATATATGATGACCATGAAAATTTTGAGCTAGTCAAATTGAAAGTAGACTTCTACCGGTTATACTCATCCGCAAGAGTTTGGCAGTTGACAAAACGACTATTTTTAGAATTACCCTTCCGTCTTTAAGTCTCTCATCATCTCACCAAATCTTAAAGATAATGCAATTTCAGACATCAAATTCCAAATTACTGAAAAATAGGCATGCAAAAACCCCAAAAGGGAGAGAGAAAGAAGATTTCTAAATATAGCCCGAACTACATAATAAAATACAATCATTTGCATAAAATGTTTTAATGGATTGAGTCCAGATAATATTGCTGATATTAACCAGTAATATATGAGTTGTCTCCCATATATATCTGTGTTGAACCCTTATGCGTGTTAAGGCTATTGACAATTTTTATAATGTCATCGTACGTTGTATTTTGTAATCTTTATTGATTTAAGTTTATACTTTGACAGAAAATAGTAAACATGAGTACATGTGTTTCAATTAAACGCACTCACTCAGTTGGTTTGACATGCGACTGTCCTGATGAAATATTCTCTGGATTAAAATTCTACACGTAGGCAAATCTACAATCGAAATGAATGTACACTGAGTATGAAAGTACAGCTCTCGAAAGTTCAATAATTTTCACATTTTGGATAAACATGTAACAACACACCATTAATAACTGAACTTATATTTTACTAATTACGTTTGAATCAGTTTTATATTCCAATATCAAAAGAATGGCGCGTGAAATTTATTCTGTGAGGGATAACTACTTTGATAGTTCCTCTTTTTCGATTTTAATTCGTAAATCAATGCGAGTTAATAACATGGAATAGGCACCACAAAAATATTCATTCATTACAATTTTATCTCCATATTGGAAGCTCATTAAGTATACATGTATATATTATTCTAAACAATCATCATACCTACTTCCATTATTCTTTGCAAAGAGCTTTCTTCTAATACACGAGAATCATGAACTGCACCCGGCCACTAGACACTGGAATAATATATCAAGGTATCTGGACCACAACAAACCTACAATGTTTAAAATCGTAAACTTTAAGAATCAACAACGTGTGGAATGCCTTAAAGAGACAAGAGCCGCTAGCAGTGGCGGAGCCGGGTTTGCGTCTGAGAGGGGCGAAATATCTGTGATTGCCCGAATTGCTAATCTGGTTACGAGATTTTTGCCGAAAAACTATCTCTATTTTGTTCACAACCAAATTTTGACACGTTTTTCCCAAGTCAAGGGCACTAAATCAAAAACCGTTCATTGAAAGATCGTCAAATTCGAAATTCGACCAGGATCTCATCAATATAAATGATCACACCAAATTTCATTCAAATCGGATGAAAACTGTAGTCACGTTTTTTCTAAGTTATGGGCAATAACTCAAAAACCGTTCATCAAAAATATGTCAAATTCGATCTTGACCAAGATCTCATCAATATAAATGATCACACCAAATTCCATTAAAATCAGTTGAAAGTTGTAGTCTATATTGTGTTCACAAACAAATTTTGACGCGTTTTTTTCTAAGTCAATGGCACTATCTCAAAAACCGTTCATCAAAAATGAGTTGTCAAAAATACGTCGACCAAGTAAGAACTTGTCCGAGATCTTATCAGTTCCAATGACCACACCAAGTTTCATCAAAATCGGTTGAAAATTGTAGCTTCTATTGTGCTCACAAACAAATTTTGAAGCTTTTTCACAAAATCAAGGGCAATATCTCAAAAAACGTTCATCGAAAATACGTCACATTCGAACTTGACCGAGATCTTATCAATCTAAAGCATCACACCAAGTTCTATTAAAATCAGATGAAAATCTAATCAATATACATTATCACGTCAAGTTTCATTAATTTAAAATCAGATAAAAACTGTAGTCTCTATAGTGCTCACATAAAATGTTAACCGACGGACCGACGGACAGGGGCCACGACAATATACGAACACATATTCATTTTTTACATCGTGGACAGTTCTGTCCGGAAAGATGATCACACGAGGTGTATATCTGGCTAGGACCAAAGAAACTCCTCTGACACACCTACGTACGGTCGCTTCGGACAAATTTATCGTGTCTCCAATCACCAAATAATAGGCTCCACTGGCATAAAACCGCAAGGCAGCTAACACCCGAATCATCACTGGCACCGAACACAACTCTTTTGTTGGTCTTTTCGGTTGATTTTTCCACAATGATGCGATGTAAATGATAGTTTCAGGGTACAACCGATAGCATGCTTTCACTTCACCCTTTGTCAACGTTTCTAAAGGATTCATCCTATCTTTAAAAACCCTCTCCCTCCAAAGAACTCTCCGATAAGCAGCGGCCTCTAGCATCAAATCCGCCATATTGATTACTTAAGATCGTCGTACGACATCTAAGTATATTTCGATCTTACTTACGATCGAATCAAAAGATACGACCAAACTTGCGACTGAATTTATTTCGTGAAATAGATCGTAAGTTTTACGACCCGTTGTAACTCGTTTGTGAAACCGGCCCCTGAAGGTCCAGAGTTCAATCCCGGCATAGGTCGAGATAATATTTTCAAACCCCCTGTCACCCCCCTTTCACTCAATCCTCCTTTACCCTACTATAAAAAAAAATCAGTGGGCTGGGTTTTCGATAACATTTTATTATAAACTAGTATATGTTATTAAAATCAACAATAAGATATAACCAAGCAGCCTAATCATTAATTTAGAAGATTGTAGTGTTTCTGGTACCATTTTAGTATCATAGAATGGGACAAACATTTCTAGTGAAGTGAACTTCTATAGGATTCGGGAATGCAATCTAATAGCCCTCTTTCTTGTAAAACTGAGCGACTGAATAATTTAGCATAGTATCTTTGACCCGTATCACATAAACAAGTAACGATAGTGTGACCTGGTCCCATTAATTTAGCTACCTGGGCAGCAGCACTGACATTCAATCCTGTAGATGCCCCGACAAAGAAACCCTCTTCGTGTAATAAACGGAATGTCATTTCTACTGCATCCTTATCTTTAATTGCCAAAGCATCGTCTATCGGGGCCCCTGCAAGGTTTTTTGTAACACGACCTTGACCAATACCTTCAGTTATGGAGCTACCTGGTGTCCTCTCGAGCTTTCCATGTTTAATATAGTTGAACAAAACGCTGCCTTCTGGGTCTGCTAAAAATACTTGGACGTTTGGGTTTTTGTCTTTGAGGTAAGTACCAACGCCAGCGAGCGTTCCACCAGTTCCAGTGCCAAAAACAACAGCATTTACCTTGCCTCTCGTTTCTTCCCATATTTCAGGTCCAGTAGTTTCAATGTGGGCTTTTTTATTAGCCGTGTTGTCAAATTGATTCGTCCAGACTGCGTTTTCTACACTCTCAGCAAATCTTCTAGCTTGATGATTGTAATTATCCGGATCATCCCAAGGAACGACGGGTACAGGACGAACATCAGCTCCGAGTGTTTTCAACATATCTATCTTTTCTTGGGATTGATTATTTGGCATGTAGATGACACATTTGTATCTTAAGGCAAGGCACATATGAGCGAGGCCAATACCCGTGTTCCCTGCAGTACCCTCAACTATGGTTCCTCCAGGTCGAATCAATCGTTTCTCCTCGGCGTCCTTGATTAAAAATAGAGCAGCTCGATCTTTAACAGACCCTCCCCCGTTACAAAATTCAGCCTTTGCCAGAATCTCACAGCCTGTTTCGTCACTAAGCTTATTTATACGGACAAGTGGAGTTCGACCGACCATCCCAATGAGGCCTTTCCGAATGGCATCGTTGGCAAAGCACCTGATAGTAATCTTCTGTAGAATTTGTCTTGATAGCATTTTACAAAATATTAAAAAAGAGTAGGCCTTCGGGGTTTAAAACAAAAGTAGACTGTCACAACTATTTTACGGACCAAATTTGTAATTTGGACAGAATTTCCGTTTTTGTGTCTTGTTCTTTTCCCTATATTTTGGATATAAGTAGAACTCTCTAACCGAGAGTCAGTCGATCAAACCAAGGTTTCCAAATAAATTTGACTTCAGTTTTACGATAATTGTTGAAATATAAAAAATAAATAGTTTCCTCTTCGCGCTACATGATATATTTTCAGTAACTAAGTTTTTCTGAAAACTAACTTAATGCAGAAATCATATTAAAACAGGATGGTTTTTACAATACCCTAGTGAACAAAAATTATTCGAAAGTATTTTTTTTAAATTAACGTGTACGGACCACAAGTTCTCACTTCTTAAAATCAACCCATAATTTATTTTCAGTCCTTCAAAAATGATACGCCTTTTCATAACTCCAACGCAAAAGAGCAAACTATGTAATCCAATTAAATTTCCGTATTTTGCAATATGGCCGAGTGGGTAAGATACCAACATTAAATAACGGAACACAATTTTATGGTATACTACTCCTTAGTTTTATTACACACTACGTTTCAACAATCTACATTGTCATCTTCAGGTGAACATAGATTATTTATATTTTAATTCACCGTCCAATTCATCTATTACATTGCTGAGTTTATGTTATTTTTTCATCTGAGTCATTTATTATATTTGGACGTTGTGAAGAATATTTTTGTTTGATTCAATTTTATTTATTGCGTGTACCAAGTGACTGTAGAACAATCAAGTAACCTAATTTCGTGCTAACTCTTTTCGTGTGTCTGTGGAAATGATTAATAATTTTCATGTACGCCCTCACGTGGCCTCTGCATTTGCATGTTTTGATAAACACGTCTTAGCTGTACAAAGTCAACTTGCAGATCTTTTCCGATCTTTTCTGTTAGAATGTAGTCCAATGAATGAAGTCACATGATCAACTAGCAGATTCCGTGTCAGCAGAAAAATTCTTTATGGGACACAATGTGGGCCATATTCTTATGTTGTTTCAATGGCTTTTAGCAATAAATCACGCGACGTATCTTACTTTGTCAGTCACTATTTCTTTTTTAAATCATGGTTCTTTGAAGAAATTTTCGTTAGTTATAATGAATTGATATTTAGGATAAATATTAAGAGAAGTTAAATATACCACCGGGTATCCATACATGTTTTTCTCGAATTATTTATAGATCAATCACTGTACAGGAACATGAAAATAGGTGACGATTTTGCCGCCGTTGTCGAGTTGGTTACTGATGAAATATGGGTCAAAGTGAGAGATTCATAAAGAAAATCAAAACAAACCAATTTTAATTATTTTGTAGAATATCTGAGAAAACATCTAAGCCATAACATTTTTTTTTTTCTTGAATCGGTCTTGAATCCTTAAATGCACGACAATAGGTTATATATATATTTATATATATGTGTAATAGGGAAAGAACCCACTAGGGTAGAAATTGAAAAGGGTGGACACCCATAGGGGAGGAACTTTAAAAGGGGGGAAACTACTATAAGCATATGTATAATGGATACCAGTTATTGTATGTGTCTCCTGTCCCTATTAGCCATAAGGGTATTTTCCTTCAAACATTATTGTATGTGTTTCATGTCCTGTTTTGCCTTTGTTGACAAGTCTTTGCATAGATTAATACGCCAATACAATTATTAATATACTTTATTAAGTAGTTCTATGTTGTAGTCAAATACACAGATGGTACTATAATTAGTAACGCTACTGTCTACTAGTATATTGAGCATATGTTTGTCTATACTGTGTGTGTAGAAAATATTTATGGTCAAATTTGAAGTTACATTGAAATCGACCAAATTTGCACCTCAGGCAATCTATATCCACTATATCAACATATCCACACTAAAGTCCATTAATATCAACACCTAGTTATGTTTATTTCTCACAAACTTTAGATTAAGTGTATTTCTTGACACTAGTTATAACCATTCTTGAGGTAACTCTCAGCCGATGAAAAGAAAATGTGAAATTAGTAAGCTTATAGATATCTTATATCCATTTTTTCAGATTTAAAAAGTGACGAATCTGATTTTGCTTTAAAGTCAATAAAATTAGCCCACATGGCTATAGCAAGACCACCAGGTTCAGACTTTGACCACAACTGGCCAGAGAATGCAGAATGTCTGACATTAGATTTTGGTCCATTTGAGACAGTACACCAATGGAAGAGAATGCCAGAATGTGATGAATTTGTGGGTGCTAGAAGAAGTAAGCATACTGTTGTTGCTTACAAAGAAGCAGTTTATGTATTTGGTGGTGATAATGGCAAGAATATGTTAAATGACTTACTTAGATTTGATGTGAAAGATAAGTCATGGGGTAGAGCTTTTACAACAGGTAAGCCCCCCGCTCCACGATATCATCATTCAGCTGTTGTACATGACAGCAGTATGTTTATATTCGGGGGATATACTGGTGATATCCATTCTAATTGTAATCTCACAAATAAAAATGATCTGTTTGAATATAAATTTAACACTGGACAGTGGGTTGAGTGGAAGTTTGAAATGAGAACACCTGTAGCAAGAGCAGCCCATGGAGCAGCTGTTCACAATGGAAAGATGTGGATATTTGCTGGATATGATGGTAATGCTAGATTAAATGATTTATGGACTGTAACATTAGATGGTGTATCAAAACAATGGGAAGAAGTTAATCAAACGGGCGAAATTCCACCAACTTGTTGTAATTTTGCTCTGGCTTTAGCAAGAGATTCCATGTTTGTATTTTCTGGCCAAAGTGGAGCTAAAATAACTAACAGTTTATTTCAGTTTAGTTTTGATAATAAACAATGGACACGGATATCAACTGATCATATTTTGCGTGGAGCTCCTCCACCCCCAGAAAAGAGATATGGTCATACTATGGTAGCTTTTGACAGACATTTATATGTGTTTGGTGGAGCAACAGGACAAACATTGCCAAATGAATTACATTATTTTGACCTGGATTCTCAGACTTGGTCTATAAATGAACCTTCAGCTGATAGTATCATTCCTGCAGGTAGATTGTTCCATGCTGCAGCAGTAGTAGGTGAAGCTATGTATATATTTGGTGGAACAGTTGACAATAATGTTAGAAGTTGTGAGATTTTCAGATTTCAGTTTTCAAGCTATCCCAAATGTACGCTTCATGAGGACTATGGCCGTTTATTGGAAAGTAAACAATTCTGTGATGTCTCCTTCATTGTAGGTGAACTTAAAACACCTATTCCAGCACATATTTCACTAGTTTGTGCTAGATCACCTTGGCTTAGAGATAAAATTAAGAAATCCAAAAATCAAGCAAGGATTGATGCTGCTGAGGTGTCAAGTGATGTAAAAACTAGTGGAATGTTAAATGTGTATTTACCAGATGCTAAACCAAGAGCATTTGAAATGGTTTTATCTTATATTTATACTGATAGAATACATCCAACTAAAACTGGAGAATCGAATGATCCTCATTCTAATGAGGTTATTTTAATTATGATGGATGTTTATAGATTATCTTTACAATTTTATATGTCACGTCTTGAACAACTCTGTATTCAATATCTTGAAACGTGTATAGGAAATAAAAATGTGCTGGTTGCATTACAGAATGCAGCTAAATTGAAATTAGATTTTTTAAAAGAATATTGTTTAAGGTTTATAATCAAAGAAAGTAATTATAATCAAATTGTAATGAGTAAAGAGTTCGAATCTGTTGATCAAACTTTAATGGTAGAAATTATAAGAAGACACCAGATTCCTCACCCCCGCCTATTAGATACACATAATGATCTTATTCAGTCCAATTCATTAGAAAAAGACATGGAAGCATTTCTGAAAACTAGTGGCCATGAATTTTGTGATATTACACTAATGCTAGATAATATCGCTATACAAGGTCATAAAGCTATTTTAGCTGCTAGGGGAAGCTATTTTGAGGCTATGTTTCGATCTTTTATGCCTGATAACAATACCGTTAAAATAACCATAGGTGAAATGGTGCCGTCTGTTCAAGCATTTAATAGTTTATTAAGATATATTTATTATGGAGATGTTGTCATGCCACCAGAAGACTCCCTCTATTTATTTCCAGCACCTTATTTTTTTGGTTTTACAAATAACAGACTGCAAGCTTTTTGTAAACACAATTTGGAAATGAATGTCTCTTTTAAAAATGTTATTCAAATTTTGGAAGCTGCCGACAAAATCCAAGCATTAGATATGAAGAAACATGCATTAAACATCATTGTCCATCATTTCCCAAAAGTGGCCCGATTGCCACATATTCGTAAGTTGACAAGAGATTTATTATTGGATGTCATTGATGCATTAGCTGATGATTTGAGTGACTCCAGACTTTGTCAAGATATGTCCAGTCCTAGTTTGAATGATTCCATCAATATCTATAAACCATATTCCATGGACAATCTTTAAATCAATCATAAATTTAGAGCAATCAATACATTATGAAGAGATACCTTCTATAAATTATATCAATCTATCACTATCTATAAATTGCAGCCAGATATATCCAGTCGTAAGTTTAATTGGTTGTTTTAATCTACAAATAATATTACAGTATTTTCAGTATTTTTTTTAGTAATTTTATTTAATTTATTTGGCAAGAGATCATTTATGTTATCCGTTTTGATACGCCCACATTATAATGTGGACGTATATTGTCACCGATGTCCGTCCGTCTGTCCACAATTGGCTTGTGAACGCGATAGAGACTACAGTTTTCATCTGATTCAAATGAAATTTGGTGTGTTCATTTATATTGATGAGATCTTGGACAAGTTCGATATTCACGATTTTTCTATGAACGGTTTTTGAGTTATTGCCCTTGACTTAGCCAAAACGCGTCAAATTGGCTTGTAAACGCGATAGACACTACAGTATTCATCTGATTTGAATGAAATTTGGTGTGATCATTTATATTGATGAGATCTTGGACAAGTTCGATATTCACGATTTTTCGATGAACGGTTTTTGAGTTATTGCCCTTGATTTATGAAAAACGTGTCAAAATTTGGTTGTGAACACATTAAAGACTACAGTTTTCATCCAATTTAAATGAAATTTGTTAATATTTATAATGATGGATGGGATCTTGGACAAGTTCGAATTTGGTTATCTTTCGATGAATGGTTTTTGAGTTATTGCCCTTGATTATGAAAAACGCATCAAAATTTGTTTGTGAACACAACAGAGAGTACAGTTTTCATCCGATGTAAATGAAATTTGGTATGATCATTTATAATGATGAGATCTTAGTCAAGATTAAATTTGAGAATTTTTCGATCAATAGAATTTGGGTTATTGCCCATGACTTAGTAAAAACGCATCAAAATTTGTTAGCGATAGAAGTTTATGTCAGAATTTTATTAAATAATGTTTGTTTGTTTAAATCAACAATATGTTGCACAAATATGATTTTTGGTATGATTTGACACAGATTGGTGACCGCCCTTGATAAATGTATCAGGAAAGTGGGCGTATCTTGCTAGGCAACCACTTGTTCTATGTAAAATCAGGTCAGCTTTTTGGAAATGGAAATACAATTTTCATATATTCACATGCAATGTGTAGCGAATATTGGGTCCACCTTGTCAAACACACTAGAAGGCACAGTTCTTAAGGGTTTAGACAAAACTCATTAAAATTGTTTAATATCACCAAAGGATGAACCCAATTGATAATCAAAAGAATCAAAAATATTATTGCCCATGTTCTTGAAATCGCGTTGCATTGTTAGCTCATAAACACTCAAGCTTGTTCTTACCGGATTCTGACAAAAAATATTGTTTGTTATCCCAAAAATTTTGCAGGAAGCGTATTACTGAAGATACTGGTAATTGTTACTGTACTGCCAAATATTCTCATTTAAAATCAAAGCTGCCAGTGGGCTGCCTGACAAGCTATTTTTATATAATATTTGGACATTGAATATCTGTAAAATCACCAAACAGGAACAATATCAATATGTGCCCAGACCTAACAACCTAAATTCTATTTATATATATATGCATGCATGTACTTGTAAATTATATTCCTTAAAAGACTTAATTGTCTGCATTCTTTATTATCTATTTTTTTGTAATTTCTTTTTACATTTTTTTTAATGAATTGATATTTTATTTTCAATAAAATGAAAACATGTAACACTATATTTTCTCAGAATCCATCTACGCCCACTATAAACTTGTGATTAGGGTGTATAAACTTGTGAATTAGATAGAAACTAGTTTTTATACGCCCACATTATAATGTGGACGTAAATTGTCGTCACCCATGTCCGTCGGTCCGTTTGTCCACAATTGGCTTGTGAACGCGATGATCATTTACAATGATGACATCTTAGTCAAGATTGAATCTGACAATTTTTCGATCAACAGAATTTGAATTATTGCCCTTGACTTAGTAAAAACTCATCAAAATTTGTTGGTGATAGAGGTGACAGTTTGTCAGAATTTTGTAAAATAATGTGTCTTTTACCCCTTTTACGCTAGGTCCCGATAAAGAGAGCCTGGCCCGGATCGGTGCCTGGCTCCGATCAAAACGTCTGTTTACACTGGCGTTCTGTGATCTGGGCCAGGTCCACTTAAAACGGAAATAAGCGTGCGCTCTCTAATTAAAAAGATTACAAAAGGTCCACGAGGAGTCAAAATGGCAGACAATAACAATAATTTTCGATTGATTCGATACGGAAATTGTAAACCCTGCACATGCGCAGACGAATTTTTAAACGGAGCCAGGCACGCATTCGTTTTATTGCGGTGCCAGGCCTCGATTTATTCCGTTTACACTAGTAAAATTGAAGTAGGCGAGGCACCAATCAGGGCCTGGCCCACTTTATCGGAGCCGAGTGTAAAAGGGGTATTTGTTTAAATCAACAATATCTTGCACAAATTTTTTGGTATGATTTAACTCAGATAGGTGACTGCCCTTGATATACTGAAAATGTATCAGGAAAATGGGCGTATCCAGAATTTGGAAGTATTTGAAAAATTCTTATTGCAATATGTTAGAAATAGTCGTACAAAAAACCTGAAACAATAAAATTTGACACGGAAGTAAAAGGTAAGCCACCATCTTGAAATGATCAACTTTTGTAAAACCAAAAATAAGGCGCTACTTCACTTATACGTGCCTCTTTATGATTTTAATTTTTTATCAACTAAAATACGACAGGATGATGTTTTAGACTCCATTCTCACCAAATTTCATCTCAATCGGATAATCTTTGTCGCTTGAAATCGATTTTTTTGTTCGTAAAAATATCGTACTCTTCATTGAAGATGTTCGAATGTCGATAAAAGGCTCCGGGCTGAACTTCGAATCGTCTCAGCATACATATTCGCGGCAAATCGACATGCTACTGTCTGTCGGTCGGTCGGTCCTTTAACATTTCGTGTGAACACAATAAAGACTACAGTTTTTATCTGATTTTAAATTAATGAAACTTGACGTGATAATGTATATTGGTTAGATTTTGGACAAGCTTTTCGAGGAACGGATTTTGAGTTATTGTCCTTGACTTAGAAAAACGCGTCAAAATTTGATTGTGAACACAATAGGGACTACAGTTTTCAACAGATTTTAATGAAATTTGGTGTGATCATTTATATTGATGAGATCTTAGACATGTTCGAATTTGGCAATATTTTGATGAACGTTTTTTGAGTTATTCCCTTGACTTAGGAAAAACGTGTAAAAATTTGTTTGTGAACACGACAGATAGATAGATAGAAAGATAGATAGATATTTATTGTATTGTTCGCCCTTTTTGGGCAGCATTCATCATAATACAAGATAATGCACAATAATAATATGACAAAATGACTGACATCAATTAATAGTTATACAAAAAAATATAGTGTACACATGAACAAGTTTGAAAAAAGCAACATCATAACAAAATAATGCATCAACAAATACACACCATATGTGGTGACAAATTTAAGAAACAAAAATATATATATAAATTTATGCAACAGCATGACAGACTATTTCAAGCAAATTAATATTATCTTATTTTAAGTCTAATAAGACTCTCACAAGCTACGTAAACATAAAGGAATATAACACCAAAGGAATATAAGCAATATATATCACTAGAGCTGTGAACATCACTGAGCGTGGCCCGTGATACTTTGCCTGATAGCTGTAAGACTTTTTTGAACTTCAAACCCTCTCAAGCCCGGTGTTGACTCGACCACTTTTAGTAAAGAGCCAAGCTAAATGAAATGTTTTGTGAAAGGGTAAATTCAATCTTGTATCAATATAACTTATCGTATGGTTATTTTAATAGCTTCATGGTAGCTATAATATACAGGTATGTGTGAAATATGAACATTATGTGACGGAATTTCTTTACTGATATAAACATGATCTATAAGTGTGCCACCTTCAGTAGTGTAATGCTGAACAAGTTGTTGAAAACCAAATTTTTGAAAACAATTTAGTATAGACAAATGACCCTCCAAGATATTTTGGTTGAAATCCCCCATAATAACATAGTCTGAACCAGATTCTTGTAATTCAACTAATAATCTTTCTAACATTGGGAGAAATAAATCTAATCGATAAACGGGTGGTTTATAGATAACAATTACGTTAATATTTTTATCCAAAATATTCAAAGCAATGTGTTCTATATTCCAATTTTAAAATGTTGACATTTTTGTTTTGCTTATAATATTCTCCTACTCCTCCGTGCCCCTTTTTCTTTCAAAAATTTGAAATCTCTAGTGTCATCATAGCTGCTGCTTCGAGGATGGTGGTGAAGACGGAAACCATTTAACTTTAGTTTTGCTGGAGTTATTGAATTATTTAGCCATGTTTCTGTTAAACAAATGATATCACCTTCTAGCATTTTCCCGTGTTTCTGTAAATCCTCTATATGAATAGACTTAGACCTTGTACTTTGTGAATAGTAACTGCATAGGCGAGACGTAATGGGAACTGGCGTCTAACATCGCCCTTATAGTTAAAATGAGGGCTTTCATATCTCTCAATACCAATACTACCACGTGGTACATTTGGCGGAACACTGTCTTCATTTATTCCAACTTATTACCATTATCAAATTTAAAAAAAAAATTGTCAGTTTGATTATTCTGATCAGTTTGAATGAATGTTACTTGACCAAAACTTCCATTTATCAAACCAGTAGAAACATTTAAATTAATTACTAACATAACTTTTGACCTTACACCTATTTTTAAGCAAGACACTAATGGTGTATCAGTCACTTTAACACATGTGGTTTTAAGCGTCATTTTAATGGTTCTAACATCTTTTGAATAATCTAGAGCACTGATAGACACAGAATTTCATCAATCATTCTAGAATTATAATCATTGGTTCACTTTTTTTTCTTTGTCTAATTCTATTCAATGTTTGGGCAAAACTAAATCATCTTTTTGTCTCATAATTTCAGTAAGTTCAACAAGTTTGAATTTACCGTTCCATAGGTCTATGACACTTTCATGACATAAACTATTACTTTTAACTGGTCTCCAAAACATATGACATAGATATTTCCAAATAACTCATCGGTACCCTTTATTTGCCCTAATCGCCCATGAATGTAACAAAAAAGCTTATGATCTACCATTGAAATTTCATCTATAATTAATTTTTGTAAGTTGCGATATTTACATCTTAATGTATTAATAGTTTCTCCCAATGGTTGATAAGGTGGAAATGGGTAACCAGAATATCACGTCAAAGATGTCAGGTCAAGGTCAAAGTCAAGATGTTCAAGAACCTACGTCAGTAGAGAATGCACAGATAGATGAGAGCGTGGATGATAAGATTACAGCTCTACGAAGCCAAAGGAAGCAATTACGTGGAAAGCTTACCCGCTCAATCAACCGTGTTCAAACCAATATACGAAAGGGTGAAACTGACTCTAAAAGATTAAAAAGGGAACTTAAACAAATAGTTCGTGATTATGAACAGTGCTCATTTGTTCATGGTGAAATTTATGAACTAACAGATCCAATTGATTATATTTCCTTTCACCCGAAACATACCTTTTCTGATATAATTAAGTTACAAGTTTTACGATTTCATCGAATTTGCACAAGATCTTTTGATTTCAACCAAGCCTGTACGATTGTTTTCTCAAAACTGAAAGAGCTCGGGTACTCCATTTTTACGAAACAGAAAAAATTCCACCTTAGCACAGATAGCAGCTAAAAACAGGCTTTATGCCGAAGTACCTCCAGGTTTAAGAAGTGCTCCATGTTTGTCCAGTAGATGCAAAACATGTCCCTTTATATCAGAAACTCATTATTTTGTAAGCAACTCTACGAATAAAAGGTACCCGATCCAGGAACATCTAACATGTAAACATTCGAATGTAATATATTTAATTTCATGCAAGAAATGCCCCAAACAATATGTAGGAGAAACTAAGAATAATTTACGAACTCGTTTTAATGCTCATAGGTCGGATGTCAAATTAAAGAAAGACAAGTCTGTTTCTAATCATTTCAACCTCAACGACCACTCTAATCCCAATTGAGCGCATAGAAATTGACTTGCCTGAAGACGAAACTACCAAATTCCGTCAATCTAGGGAAGCCCATTGGATCGAGACATTGAATACAGCAAGACCTATAAGACTAAATATTCATCATAATGTAGGCATAGCACCCTTTGTTGTCCCGTTCAATACAACCAGCAATCGAGCAAGCAGGATAGTTCATGCCCACTATAAGAGCCTTCAAAAGAAATTCCCCCATGTCTATAAGCAGAAAATGATAGTTGCATATTCTTAAAATAAGAACTTAAATGATAATATTGTTCATATAATAAACTAAAAACAATCAGTACATAACAGTTACTATACTTCTCGCCCATTGGGCGAGTTACTTTTTCTAATTTCAGATCAGAATCAGAACAGAAGAAAATCCAATATCAAGACCCTTAATCCTAATTTCTAAATAAAGTGTCTGCTCCTCCCTAGGCCTGTACATTTGGGAGAAACAAACCCTCCCTTCCCCGAAACCCAACAGATCAGATGCCAATTATATCATCTGATTTGTTTCCCCTGGACAGTGCCAGTTCACCTACTCTAAAGTACCAAAAGCTAATTTCCTTTTAATATCCTCTTGAGTTTTTAATATTGGTTCAAATAACACTGTTAATCCAAGTTGTTATAATTTATTATTTTCAACCTTTATTTTATTCTTAGCTTCGATATATTCTCTATTTCTTTTTAAAATATTATTCCAATCACTACTCATTTTTTAAAAAATAAAATTTGACTAACAGATGTTGGTCATAACTCTTTAACCTGCAGGTTTTCTAGTATTTGCAAATATTGTGTCGTTTTCTCCCTTATTCAGAGAGCATTTTGGGAAGTCAATCTTTATTTACTCAGAAAGGCACATTTAAAGTGTTGATAACTTAGTTTTGTGGTCTGCAATTGTGTCTTTTCAGAATGTCAACCTCCAGGAAATCATCTAGGCTCCACAAATTTTCACAATCGCCATATGCTAGGCCGTCTACCTCTCAATACAGTTCAGCATCCACGTCTGAATGAATGCCACCTCTTAGATTTGGAAGATAAATTTTCTTTGGTTAAGAATAAAGAAGGTGGTCTTACTATTAAAATACAATCTACAATTGTAAAACCTCTTGAAACCATCACAGAATGGTTGCAGGAATTTCATTGCTACATTGCAATTTATTGCACAAAAAGGCCTGAATTGGCCACTCAACTGATGAAATATATTCACACTATCCATAATTTAGCCATTATCTGATATGTCTGCCATGTCTTATGATTTTAAGATTCGCCATTGGAGGGCTTCGCAACCATCCAGAATGCCTTGGGACACTGTCAATCTGAAATGATAAAACGAAACAACAAATCTTTTTCTGAACAAACAAATAAACAAAATCTGTCGAAGTCAATTCCAAAAAAGCCATTTGCTTCAACTACAATAATACTGGAGACTGTTCCCGATGTAGCGTTGTTTATATTGTAATATTCTTTATTGTAAGATGTCATGTTCTTTGAGTATTACCGCACAGCTGGGGTGTTAGTATTTAACTATAATTTCAACTGTCTATTGTTATATCTTACATCGCCTTTGATACCCAATGTGCACATGACAGAGACGACATTCTTTGTTTTTAACACACAGTCGGTAATATACTTATCAATAACTTTAGGGGAATGATTTGTTCAATCTTACCTCAGGTTATATACATGATAAGTGGTTGACCAGTGTGATAAACCCTAACTAACCACAGGGGTTTTAGTCAAATGGATTCCTTTATTTCAATGACCATCTGGGTGAGGGAATAAATACAACTTAGGAAAAGATATCAAGTAAACTCTTGGGTCACTCTTGGGTTAGCACTAGAGTATGGGAATTCTGGGGTGGAATCCCCCTTTTTGGTTTAGACTCGGAGTTATATTTATTGTTTAATATTCAGTGTTAGTTAGGTTCTTGGATGTAAATAAAGTGTTTGTTAATATTGTAAGCGTTAGTATCAATTGAAGGAAAGTGTCCGTATCCAGTCTCTTACAAACGACTATACAGTTTGTAAGAATGATCTATCTTGCAGTTTGCAAGTAGAACCCAACAAACAAACATGCCAAACAGCAGATTGTCTACAGTCAGGTTGTCCAAGACAACAAGTAGCTTGTTTACACCGAGATAAATGCTCCTATGGTCATAGATGCCAAACATGCGCTGGTACACATCCCAGAATCAAATGCAAATCCCGTTCAGCCAAATCGAAGCACACGGTTGCAACTGACACAAAATCCCCTTCCAGTGGCACAAATCCTAATGTTTATCATAACAAATTTCGTATTGTAACACCTGTATTTCCAGCAAGGCTTTATTACTGGCTGTCTGTTTATGATAAAGGCTTTGTGAAATTTTTTGGTCCAATGGTTTCAAGATTCTATTTACTGGCCGCCAAAGTACACAAATCTAAAATCAGCTGCCGTATTTCCAAATTTGTTGTGTGAAAAAATAAGCAAAGAGATTTCTGCGGGTCGTGTTGCAGGGCTTTTTGATGCTGCACCGCTGCCTAATTTTCGTGTCCCCCCCTTGGCGTTGTACCTAAAACATCCCCTGGTGAATACCGCATTATTCATTATTTGCCTTACCCGATAAATGAATCTGTTAATGATGGTATTCCTTTCGAGTTCGCAACGGTGCAGTATCTAACCATTGATCATGCAGTGCAGTTAGTGAAAACATTTGGAACAAATTCCTTGCTTTCAAAATCTGACATAAAACATGCTTATAAATTAATACCACTTTCTCCAGAAAGTTTTAACCTTACTGGTTTCATAACGGATAACAAATATTATTTTGACAAAACTCGTCCAAGGGGCTTGTCATATAGCTGCTCATTATTTGAACAATTTAGTACAGCTCTCCATTGGATTATGGAATCCAAATTGAATAGCCCCTGCGTCCATATTCTTGATGATTTCCTATTTGCTGGACCACCTTATTCATATCAATGTCAAATTCATCTGAATTCATTTTGCTTATGAAATTGGTCCGCCATTTTGTGATTCAATCTTTGAAATTTAACGTTTTGTTTCAATGTGAGTACATATCCATCATACTAATATTGCAGCTGATAAATTATCTCGTTTGCAGGTGGAAGCCTTTCAAGAAATGTTTCCCAACATGGACAGCGGACCTTTCAGAATTTGAATTCACAAGTGCATTGTGTCCATCATCTGTGTGTGCTTATCAAAGAAGTATTCAAAAATTTAAACTTTTCTTACAAACAGACTTCCACTTTCCTTTTCAATTGCCAATCCCTTCTGAACAATTAGTATTATTTATAGCTCATCTATTTCATACTAAAACTGCTGTGGCTACTGTCCGCTCTGATATATCTGCTCTTAGTTATTTGCATAAACTTGCCAACTGTTATGATCCCCCTAATATGTTTGTGATTCGCAAAATGCTTCAAGGATTTAAAAAATTAAGACCTTCAGCAGGCATCAGCAGGATGGTTCCCCTGTAACTCGCAGTTACTTCCGTCAACAGCTTCAAAATGTTCTCAAATTTATTGGCTTAGGAAATAACCATCACAAAGCACATAGTTTTTAGTATAGGTGCAGCCACTTGGGCTTGATCAGATAGCTCAAATAGGCAGATGGTCATCTAATGCTTTCAAGAAATATATTAGAATACCTACTCTAACTTTGTAAATAGTATCAAAGAAATTGTAACTGTAATCTGTTAAAGTATTTCCATACTACTATTTTAGATTTTTTTTTCTTTTAAGGTCTTTTTCAAAGATTTTGGCCTCTAACTGGATCAGGGATCTGTTTGAGGTTTTTAACCTTTATTTCTTTCTTTTTACTGTTGTGGATGGGGGATATTGGTTTCTTATTATAAACCAATATGTTGGCGGTTTGTTACCCCATCTTACATGACGATATTTTAGTTAGCTTTATAATGTCAATAGTTAGATTTATTTTGTACTTATGTAGGATATTATTCGTGAATTCGTATTATACTTATTTTGATTTTTCGGTCATTTATGAGAAAATAAATGGCCTTATTCAATTCTATATATTATTGTCATTATTTCAATCATCATGTAACACAGGGGATAAAAATATATCCATGATCATCTGGATTTCTCCAGTTTTTTTCGATTGCTATCAATATTAGACAAGTCCAGATCATTGACATTTTCGTAAGAAACACTTTTATGTCGGTTGGATTGAAAGATGGATTCTTTGCTTTAATGAAGTTCTCTATGATATCTTATTTCCACTTCTTCTTCGTTGTCTTCATAATATTGAAATATGTATTGAACGTCTTTCGTTGGGAAATATTCTACAGCTTTGAGGAATTGATAATATGATTGCTCTGGTGTTGTTCCGTAGATATATAGAGAATCGAAATCTAAAAGGTTTGGTGTTGTCAACATGTTAAAAGTGAGATGTGTTTTTCCAAAGTCTGAACTCCTGAATGTTCTGAATGTTTGAATTTCTTTCTCATTTTTAACTTATTTATTTTGTTCCAAAATCACTCCATCTCCTTTATACTTTGAAAGAAGGGGTCCCTCTCTGGTGCGCATATTTTTAAAAACTATAGCATTATCCTTATGTTTGACGTTCATTTCTCCTGTGTCAATACTATCTATTAATTTATTTATTCCTTGTTAGACAGTTTTCTTGGTTTCTTCGCTAAATCGTTTTCCAAATTCTATAACTGTACTTAATGTATCTGCTACTCCTGAACCTTTCGCTGCCTTTTCCACTGCTAAATTATGTCTACGATCTTCTGCGTTTTAGCATCAGCTGCTTTCATCGTTGGCAGAACTGACTGTAGCAGATACTGCACCAGTTACTGCACCGGCTGCTGCAAGTCCATCAAAGGTAAGGGGGGTAAAATTCCACATACTTTTGCGTTCGCGTCAATTCTTTCAAACTCTATATTATCGTCCGTGGCTTTACAATGTTTGTATTTATCTTTTTTAGATATGTTTTTACCATTGTAAGTTATTACAGTTGGCGTTTCTGTTTTGACAGCTTCTATTATTTTCCTATAAGTTTCTGCCCTCATTTTAATTCTTATCATTCTTCTATATGCTATTTTAATTAAATGTTTTGCTTCTTCCAATAATAAAAAGTAACCGGTTACATCTCCTTTTGTTTTTTCGATATGGATACTTATATTTACTCCTGTTTTGAAAAGATCTTCATGGTGAGCTGACAGATCAAAACAGAAGATTGGGTGATTAAGTAGGTAGGTATGTAGGTAGATGACAAGTTAACGTTCGCTTCCAGCGGATGCTGATATCGCAAACTAGGTAGTTGTTGGTAGTCGTAGTAGTTGGTAGTTGGATTGGATCAAATTGGATGATTCGGTGTTGTTGGTTTGGTTGTTGATTCTTCGTTAGATCTGGTCGGGTCGAATGACATGGCGGTGAAAATCGGCCCTGGATGGTGTGGCGTGAGTTACTCGGTCTCCTTCATTCTTCCAAACTCGTTCTGATCATGGTATTTCTTGTTGATTGGTAGTCGAATGGTAGTCGTTGGTTTGGTTTGGTTTGGTTACATTATCTGTTATCTGTTGGAAAACTCGAAGACCTGAAAAAAAAAGAAAAAAAAGAAAGTGAGAAAAAAGGGAGGAAAAGGGGAGGGGGGGGGGGGGAGGTTTCACAAAAGGGGGAGAGATGTTCTCTAATGTTTCTGCAATGAAACTTGTTGAATTGATTGGATATAATTTAAAAGTGTTAAGAAACTTTGAGTTTAAAAACTTAGCCTATCTGTTCAAGACAGATTTGGTTATAAAATGGAAGACTAGTTCCATTATCGTATACCAGTGGTCCGTGGGTGGAGCCTAAACATTCTGTATGGTGAGTGGCATGCCGTTGGTTTCCAGGTACTCTAGCAGTGGCTTACGAGCGGGTTTCAGTTCAGTGCATTGAATGAGGACATGCGACCTTGTGGCAACGTGGCCGCAGCGACATTTAATGGCGTTGAACTGATGGTCTCGTAGTACGTTGTTGGTCCGGAGTCTGGTTGCCACTTTGCAGATGGCTACAGATGGATGGTTTGGTTTAGTTTGGTTTGGTTTGGTTTGGTATCTTCGGATCAATCTGGTATCTTGCGGTGTCGAGGTTCCGTAACATGTCAGACCATTTCTGGTTGATCCTAGAAGATACGATACTGCAGAACTCCGAATAGGAGTATTCTACAGGCTCGATATCCTCCAGACTCAGACTTTCCTTGGCACAACGGTCTGCTTGATCATTGCCAGGAATGGAGACATGCGATGGAACCCATACTAATTCAATCTTCTGGTCGTTGTTGGTTTGGTAGTTGTGGATCATTCTTCTTATTTCGGAAAAAACTTCTGACCTGCAATTAGAAGAGGTGAGAAAAATAGATTGGAGGCTGCTTAGCGAGTCGGATAGAATCGCGGCATGCTCCGTTTGATTGACGGACAGCCATGCTACCGCGTCCCTGATGGCAAAAAGTTTTGCTGTGAACACTGAAGAGTGCGGGGGGATCCTTTTACTGATGCGGATGCCTTTTGCTAGGATGCACAAACCGTAACCTGTTGCGGTACTACTCTTGGAACCATCGGTGTAGATCTTCAAATGGTCGGCGTACACGGAATCAATGAGATCTAGAGCGCGAGCTCTTGCTCCCACTGGGTTCTTGTGCTTGTTGGTACTCTGGATCAGCTGGGTGTTGACTGTCGGATTGGTAACCTTCCAAAACGGAGTAGCCGATAGGCGTCGTTCAAGGATCGTTACTTGATCGAGCTGATGCTCTCTCAATAGATCAGTGACCGCTTGCCCGTAAGAAATACTCCCGTTCTTCTGGTTATTTCCGACACGAGTAAATCTTCTGATGCTGGAATACGTTGGACAGCTTTCGGACAAATACTGAAGTTTCCCCCAGAATTTGAGAGATAGCCACCTCCTGAAGTAGCGCCTCATTCTTTGTACCTACGGCTGCCCTGGTGGCAATACGTATAGCTTTCATGTGTAGAACATCGAGTTTCTTCAGTTGAGTATCGCTTGCTTTACCATAGGCAATACAACCATAATCAATAACTGAACGAACCAGTGACCTGTACATCATCATTAGAGTTTCTCTGTTTGCTCCCCATGTGGTACCTGAAACATAACGCATAACATTTAAGATTTTTGTAGACCGGTTACAGATATAGTCAATGTGCGTACTCCAAGTCAGACACTTGTCAAAGTGTACTCCCAGGAACCTTACTGAATTCTCATGCATAATCTTCACACCATTCAGTCTAAGGTCATTACTGTCGTGATCTTTCTTTCTGCTGCAGAACAAACCGACGGTTTTAGCTTCCGAAATAATGAAGCCCCAGTCGTTTGCCCATTTAGCAACTTGGTTCAGAGCAGTTTGCATACGCCATTTAACTTTATTGAGGTCATTGTGACCAGTCCATATCGAACTGTCATCTGCACATAGAGCCGTGCTAACCGAGAGCTCTATATGCTTTACATAATCCAGGGCCAGATCATTGATCATAATGCTGAAGAGGGTAGGGCTAATAACAGAGCCTTGCGGGGTGCCATTCTCCAACGAATGCTTCTCGCTGAGAGAATTGGCGACGTTCACTTGTACCTGGCGATCCCTTAAGAAGTCCTGGATCCACCTAAACATGCGACCCCGAATGCCAAGTTTATCAAGTTTAAAAAGCAAACTATCAACCCAGACTAAGTCAAAGGCCTTGGACAGATCCAGGAATACTGCGCTGAAGTAGTTCTTCTTTCCGAGTTGGGCGGCCATGTCGTGTTGAAGTCGAATGATTTGATCCATTGTTGACCGTTTCTCTCTGTAGCCGCTTTGGTTGGGATCGATAAGACCATTTAGTTCACAGTGGTATCTAAGTCTATTATTGACCATCGTCTCAAATGTTTTACATAGAGTCGAGGTCAGAGAAATAGGCCTGTATGAACTGCATAGACTTTTATCTTTCTGCGGTTTTGGTAGAGGAATGACCATTGCCGTTTTCAAACTTTCTGGAATTGTACCATTATACCATGATTTGTTGAATAATTCTAGTAGAACTGTAGACGCTTCCATTGGTAACTCCTTTAACATGCTGTACTTGATATTATCTTCACCAGTAGCGCTGTCTTTCTAACTGTACAGTGCTTTCTTCAGCTTGTCGAGGGCGAAGGGAGCGTTAAGATCCCGTTCATCCTCTAAGGGCGAATGATGAATTGGAGTGTGGTTGGTGTAGAAGGTCTTCTTGTTCTTTAGAAACACTTGGCTAACAAATTGGCTTTTCCTTCATTGCTGTATTCTGTGGAATCCCTGTATCAAAGAGTTGGAATGGAAGAATTAGATTGTTTACCAAGCATTGAGTCTATTTTACCCCAGACAGATCTTATGTTGGTCTTCTCATTTAATGTGTTGCAGAACTCCTGCCAGTGCTTTGCTTGTGATTCACGCAACAGAGCAGCTGTAGAAGCCTTGACCGCTAAGTATTCTAAGTATAACGGTCCGATTTCCTCTGAAACCGTCGCTTGCGAGCATCCTCGGCAGCCTGGAGTTCATCGGACCACCAGGACTTGGGTGACCTACGTGCAATGCCATCCTTAGTCCGGGGAATAGAGCCCATAGCAGCATCAGTGATAACCTGAGTCAACTTCCCAGAAAAACTAGAGACGTCCTCGTCCCTTGCCAGATCTAGCTTGGAACGAGTGAAATGACGCCTAAAGAAATCCCAGTTAGCCTTCCCTATTCTCCATTTGCCTTGACACATGACTTCCTCCTTCACAACATTGCGTGACAGCGTGATTTCAATGACAACATGGTCACTTCCAATGGTCTCACTGGTTGCTTCCCACGTACAGTCTTTAGCTAACCGACTGCTTACTAATGTGAGATCGAGATGCGAACCAAGAGGAGCAATGGCACCAACATAAGTAATGCTACCATCATTTTTGCTAACCAGGTCATTGGCCTCAATGAACTCAGCAACTTGTCTACCATTAGTGTCAGTTGTTGGCGAGCCCCACAATACGTGTCGGTCCCGGGTTACTGATCGTAAACATACTGACATTCATTGAATCGTTGACGTTTGCCTTTGACTTCGGGTCGATAAATATTAACGATAGAAAAAACCTTTGACTTGTCGGTAAAGGATACCGCCTGTGCCTCCAGAGGAGCAATGGTTTTCAGAAGAACCTCACTATGGGATATACCATTTTTGATGTAGATGGCCAGACCCCCACCACTTCGATGGTTGAGAGCATTAGGTCTGTTTAATCTGATCAAAGTATAACCATTGATGATAGGGTCTTTATTCCTTGAATCGAGCTTGGACTCTTGGAGAAAAACGGCATCATACTGCTTCCTTTGTAGTAGCTGTACCAGTTGGGTCTTTCGTTCAGGTACGTTCAGACCATTGATGTTCAGTTGTATAAACCTGAAATTGAATGTAAAATAATTAGTGGCTTAATGGATCAGTATGGTTTTAGCATGGGGTTTGGGGTGCCGTAAAAACCTCTACGTCCATTTCCGTTACTGAGCCAGTGGGCAGTGGTCTAGCTAGCGAAGTGCTTCTAGAGCGCTCTGTCACGGGCCTGGAGCCTGTACTTCTGCAGACGCTCCTTGACTGACGAGGTTGGCCACTCGTGGATACCGCCTTTACTTTTCTTGGCGTTTCCACTGATTGACCCACTACGTCGGCCTTCCGAACATCCGTGCTGGATCTCTTCCTCTTTGGTTTGGTATCCTTGTTTGGTGGTTGTTGGTTTGTGACGTGGTCGGCACATACTTTGGCTACTGCGTCCATGACGTCTTTTGGATGGGTGATTAAGTGCAAAATCTACATATTCGTAGGTGGATTTCCAAATAATTAACACATGTTTTTATAGTTTCTATATTATACAATTCATTATAATCCTTTGTGGATGGATTAATTGTTAAAGGTTGGTTAGGGTAATTACCGTTGTTTAATCATACTTGAACTTTATGGATTATAGGATCTTGATTTTGAGTCTGGTAAATTCTTGAAACCAACCATTAAATATCTTGTTGGTTTAACAGTATTGACGATTGGCCAAGTGGTTGATTCGTTATTTCTAATTTTTTCTAACTTTGCATTTGAAGCATTCTCTCCAAACAATATCTTATCATCATTGATTTCTCTTTGTAGATGAATTGTATATGGTAACCCTATGGAAACCTTTCTGTGTTCCAACAGACCAAATAAAGGATTTAACTTCCAATTTACGTAATATTACTCCAACTATTATTATCAACTGAAGTACTCGTTTTTCGAATCCATGGTTAACTACCTGTCCTACTCTTTCTATTGTGTTTCGAGCAATAAGTTTCATTCTAGCTTCATCTGCATCATTAGGAGCATTTCTAACCGGTTCTTTTAAAACACTTCAGTCACCAACATCAGGTATCCATCCAGAAAATGAATCAAAGTTGAATATAGAACTGTTTTTAGCATGGTATCAAATTCACCAGGGTGTTTGATGGTTTCTATATAAGATTCCATAACCATTTCGCTAAGTAAAGCTGGGAAGAAACTGTTTTTCAACGTTGTGTTGCTTTGGGAACTCGATTCTCATTGGGAGTTCCATCTTTTATTTTGAAATCGCATCTGAAATGAGCATCAGAAAGAAGCAGCCAATTTGACAATGAATTAATTGCGAAGGTAAATCTACCCCCATCATTCAGTTGAGATTTAGAACCAACAGTTGGTGAGATGATTATACAATCCTCCTTTTTCTTATTAAATGAATATTGAATTGGATCATGTAATTGAAAGATTGGATCTAGTCTGTAATTTTTATTTTCCATTTTTAAAATTTTAGTAGAAATTATCCTATAAATTGAGAACCTTTTCGTCGTCGTTTTTCCGATTGTTTAATCTTTAAAAAAGTGTCTAGTGCTTGTGGAAGAATCTCAAGTAATCCTTCTCCTTCTTGTTTTTCTAATCTCTTGTTTCTTAATTCTCTTATTTTATTTATTTCATTTATTTCACTTTCCTCTGAAGCAATAGAAACTAATGCTGGAATCAAAGAAAGTGGTGAAGGGGATAATTTGTTTTTTGAAAGAAAGTTGAATATTTTTGGAACTATAGGGTTCCGCCTGAATAAACTTCTAATTTGTGTCGTTCGTGCTTCAAAATTAAAGTCATCTTGTTTTTAAACGTGTTAATTTAGTAGGATGAGCAACGTTACTCTTTTTACAGTCTATGAAATAGACCAATCCCTTTTGCATTGCGCTACTGAAAAAGGAATGAATAGACTATTGTACTATTAACACGTGACTAGAATAAATTTAATAGGCGATTCAATGTATTCAAAATAGGAATGTTCATTGAAAAATAACACGTGACTATTTTGTATAGAATAAATTTAATAGGCGATTCAATGTAATAAAGGATTATATTGTTCAGGATTGCATATTACATAAATAAAGCAATCTTACTGGTATAATATTTTCTAATAATAAGACAATAATAAAAGACAATTCAGTTGTATTTGTTACTATCATTTAATTGTTCATATTTTGAGTTACCGTGCATACTCTTTTTATTGGATATAATATTGTCGGCAAACATTGTTTTAAATTCTTATTTATGTTTTAAAATGCTGCTTAGGCCTATTGTTGTTCGACGTAAACTAAATTTCATAGCTAAAAATTTTGAAAACAAAAACGTAATAAAGAATGGTCAAGTTGCATATTTCTGTTCTATACTGTGTAATGAATGATACGAGTACTCATGTCATTTGGTCTACAGGCAATGACCGTGATCTTGAAGTGTTGGAGTACTTGGAGTTTTTTAAACTAGCCTAAGAAGGAAATCAATCGGGACCAGAAAATGATGTCGGAATACTCAGATGTCGGATATCACAGAGTACACTGTACATAAGCAGTAAGCTAAATCATAGATATTCTTAACCACGAAAATAACAAATTAGTATTATGAAATTGAATGGGGAAAAAAGACAAAATATGAAGAAATAGGAACTTGGTAGATAAGTATTTGAATAGTAATAATAAAAATAATGGTTGTAAATAACACTGGTGATGTGAAAAGTAATTATAATTACGGTCGTATATGATCAAATACCAAATTAAGTTGAACAGATTACATGGCACCATACTAATATATCATGATTGATATATGATTAATGCTAGTGCAAAATTTTGAAATATATATATGTATGCCAATATAGTATGTATAGAAATTATAGGATGGTTGGGGATAAAGTGGCACAACTACTTGCAAATAAAGAACATCAACACAATTCATGTTTTGGACATTGGGCATAAGCTAAAATAAATATCGAGATATAAGTAAGTCATGGTTAGAAAACATTCGCCAGGGTAAGACAGACGAAATCATCTTTTGCTCGTAATGATATTACCTAACAATCTCTGTGATGTGTGATATGAAAAAAAAAAACGGAAATAGGTTAGGCCTAATACATTGAAGTGTTATGGGTTGGGTATTTGGCATTGACTGGCTGATAAAAACTCATAAAGACACCAGTTCGACTAATTTACAATTGCTCAGAGATTCCAAGGTGTGAACCAAAATTTTAAGATTTAAATATTAATATACGCGTACTTATAAATTCTGGTAAGTTTCAAAATGATGTATAAATATAAATTTTAGGTAAAAAATATATTAGTTTTATAGGTTGATTGGGGATAACGTATCACAACAATATGTAAAATAAGGAAATCAGCACACTTAGTTTTGTTTTGTGTTTAATAAGCATAGCTAAACATTGAGATTTAAGTTAACAAAAGTCATAGTTAGAAAACATCATAATAATCGCCAGTACCATGTTATGCCTGAAGTAATGATAACACATGCGTATAGTATAAAGTTATAATTGAAATAGTTTTTGTTTGGAAAATGACTCTGGCTGACTACAAGCTTACAAACAAATATAAAGAACTCATGTTCAACTGGTGAATGATAATCAGGTAAATTAGGCCTAACTAACTGACCATCGCTCGGTGATTACAAGGAAACAGACAAATATTATAAATATTAATAATAGAATATCATACAAATTAAATCTAAAGAATTCCAAAACGCTTATTCAAAAAGAAAATATCTGGACTCATTCTATTAACCCTTAAAGGAACATTTAGACAGAATTTTGAGCTGCTCATCGAGACTTGGTGGATGTAATTACGTTTTACAGGACCTGCGCAATTATTTTGCCGTTTGTGAACCACACTTTAATGACACTTGGATGGTTAACGTTAGCGACTGTCATGTCCTCTGATATTCCCGTATTCTTAAGTTTTTTCCTATTTCGTAGAACCTTGTAGGCCTATCGATCATCACGTCTCACAAAACGAACTATAATGCTGCGTGGTTTGGAAATAGGTTGACCACTATGGGGATAGGTTTTGGGCCAACGCGATGGGCTGCACCCACAGTTAAATGTGTGTTGATGTTCAGTTTGTCTCTAAAAATGTTCATAACCAAATTGATAGTGATACAATCTTCACCAACAGATTCAGCCACACTTTAACCGTGTTTTTTGACTCGAGCTCAGCAGACTTTTCGAAGACGTATTGGAATTTATCATCAGTGGTTTTCATGAAATCAGACAATTTATTCTCTATAATTTTACATCGTTTATTTATGATTTGCTCAAAGTCCAAATTAATTTGTTTTGCAGCCGCACTTACTACAACTCAAACAGCATTTTGCAATAAGTTCAGTTTAAGTTTCTTGATTTATTAAAAACTAACCCTCATTAGCAGATGACGGATCAATCGTACTATTCTCGTGTGATGTTTTAACAAATTTAACAGGCGGGTATCAGATTCACTTGAAAAACTGGAATCGCTGTGGCGGACGTTTTTTTTCTGTTTGGACATAAAGTTAGTGTTTTTGGCAATGTAGTGGGCTACTATGAGAGTTTTATTCAAGGAGTAGTGATGAAGTCAAGCTTTTGTTGAGACATTTTCGTATTAGTGTTCATGATTAATATAGTTCACTGCGTAGTCTACTATTCAAACCTGAAATAGTATGAAATTGGCGTTTGTAAATTATATATAATGAAATAAAATACTTATGGCAGGATCCTCATTTGTACCTCTAAAAGTCACATCTAATTTATTCACATTCTAATCATTAAGTTATTGTTATTTACATAGTAAAGTGAGAGCTCCGCTTAACACGTCCTATCCTTTCAGCCATTTTGTTTTTAGTTAGAATCAATTAAACCTGGTGCGGTCGGTGTTAAGATGGCTGACGAGTCTCAATGAAAGCACTTGGGATATGATAGATCAGAGGGAGAAGGGGGAGTATTGTCACCCGAGAGGGGGAAAAATCTGAGTTAAATTTTCTAGAGGCATTTTTCCTCGGGAATCCGAATCTGGGAGGTGAAGTGCTGGGTCAGGGGGCGATTTTGAGTTATTCAAGGTCAAAGGTCACGAAAGGTCAAATAACGCAAAAAACGTTTAAAATTGAGAATTTAACTACAAAATGTGTACAAAATTCATTGATATCATCTAGAAATTGACAAAAGCCAATAAGTGTGAATCTGCACTATCTATAAGTCCAAATTCTTTGAGGTAATCCAGGTCTATTTTTATCTATGTGCTTCATCAACGAGTTCAACAAACAGAACTGGAGATACAGATTACTGCTCCAAACATCAAGGAGGAGCTGAAATGTTTCTGTGAAGACTGTAACACCATTTTGTTTTCGACATGCCTTCTTGGTCAACACCAAAACCATTCTTTTCTTAATATCGAAGACTCTAAAGACGTCATT